AAAAAGAATTATAAAAAAAATTATAAAAAAAATTTTTAAAAAAAATCTTATATTTATATAAATATTTAAACTAAATAATAATAAAACTATTTTTATAATAATATAAATATTATTTATAATAAATTAAGAAATTTAATATATCGTTAAAATATTAATGTAAATAAGCCTTAAAAATACAAATAAACCTACTTTTCTTATATATATATAATTTTCATATAAATTAAAAAATATAACCCCATTTTTAACATAAACATAAACTTATACTTTAAAATATACAAATTTATAAGCTATAGGTATAAATATCCTTATAACGTAATAACGTTATAATACCATTACATAAACCACTTTATAAAAAATAAATACGGAAATATAAAATATAATCCTTATTTAAAAGATATATCGCATAATATACAAGCTTTATAACCGTAAATATGGCGTAACTGTTACACCGGTTATAAATAACTAAAGCGTTAACCACTTTTATTATATAAATATTAACTATAAAAAAGATACGCTTTTTATATCTTATATTAAAAAAAAATAAACCTTTTAATAATATTTAAATTATTATATATGCTTAAATAATATCAATAACTCTTTAATACATTACCTTTTTTCCAATATTTTATAAGATTAAATTTATAAAAATAAATTAATTAATTATTAATTTTAAAATAAACTTAACTAATATAACCTTTATATAAACTTAAAATTTTTCTAATTATTCTTAAAAACGCTTATTTATATACATTAAATCTATATATTTTTAAGTTAAAAAATTATTAATTTAATCTTTTTTTTTAAATAACTTAAATTATTATCTTTTTTAATAAATCTTTTTAAAACTTTTATTAAACTTAAAGGTTTAAAAAAGCCTTATATTATTTTTAAGCGGTATTTTTTAATTTAATAATTATTATTTGTTATATTTTATTATTATTAAAAAAACGTATAATTATTCCTTAAATTTTTTGGGAAAATATTAAGTTAAATTATTTAACTTATCGTTTAAATTAAATAATTTGCTTAATTAAAACTATTATATTAATTTAATACATTTATATTATAATATTATATATTATTTATAAAATTTAATATTATTAATTAAATTAATGAATAAGATTTAAACGTTTTAACCTTAGATTAAGCCTTATTAAACCTGATATCAAAGACTTTTAAATGATAATAATAAAAGAAAAGGAATGACTTATATTAAAAGTAAATAATATTATGTAAAATGGATATATATAACCATAAATGGTATTTATATTAAGAATATAATTATATAATTAAAATTAAAGTTATTTAATATACCAGTATTAATTTATAACTTCTTTTCGAATTTTATCAAGGTTACGAGATTAAATTTAACCTATGAAATAAGGGTTGGGACTTAAAAAAAAAAGAAACAAAATAATACGAGTAAGGATTAAATCTTAAGCTTTTAAAAAAAAATTCGTACTGTTTAAGCTATTAAAGCTATTGATTATTAGCTTTATAGTATAACCTTTTTAATATTTTAAGTATTATTAAGTTTTAAATTATATTTTAAATAAATTTATATGCCGTATAATTTAACCAATTTAATTAAAATTAATTAAATATTTAATATTATTAAATTATGTTTTTTAACCATATAAAATTGTATAGTAACGGATCCGATTATAATATTTACTATTAAATTAAATATATATAAAAATTGTGGTATAAAGATTGTTATACGATTTTACCTCTTTTATAATAAACTTAATTAATTTTATTCCCTTTTTTATCCCGGTATTATATAACCTTTGTAATTAAGCTATTTACCTTTTTTAATATCTTAATATTAACTTAAATAAGCTTTAATATTAATTAAGTTTTTATTTCCTTTATAATAAACCTAATAACTTATTAACTAATTAATTAATTAAGCCTTTACCTTTTTTATTACTAATTTTTTATAATTAATTGTTTTGTATATTAAGTATAATATAACTTAAAAAACATTATATATTATTTTTAAATAATTTAAAATATAATTTTAAACGTAATAACTGTTAATATTCTTACCAACCTTATTTTTATAATCTTTTTATACATTTAATAAAGCCACTTTTTATTTCTTAATATTTAATTAATTAAGATACGTTATAACCCTTATATATCTTAAAATTAATAATTAAATCCTAATATAATAATGTTTTTTAAATCGTATTATATTTTATATATCTCGACTTAAAGTATAAAAATATTAATATTAAAAATTATATTAACTTAATTAATAAATAACGTGATTGTTAAAGCGATTAATAAAGTTATATCGTATCGTATTAATTAATTAATATATTAAAATATGATTAAATTAATTAATAAGTAAATATTTTTAAATAGGTTAATATAATTAATATAAGGTTTAAATTGTTTAATTAAGTTATTTAACTTATATTTAAACTATTAGCTAAAGGTATTAATGAAGTTATTGTGGATTTAGCTATTGATTAATATATTATAAGCTTTATTAACTGTGGGAGGCTATCCGATCAAGTTACGATAAGGCATTTTCGATAATAACAATCTTTTTAAAACTGGTATTACGGGTTTAAATTGTTAAGGGTTACTATTAAATAAGACTTAAACGTTTTAGCCTTAGATTAAGCTTTATTAAACTTGATATTAAAGACTTTTAAATGATAAAACTAATGAAAAAAAAAATGACTTATATTAAAAATAAATGATATTATGTAAAATGGATGTGTGTAATTATAAATGGTATTTATACTAAAAATATAATTACATAATCAGGGTTAAAGTCACCTGATATACCAGCATTAATTCATTAATTTTAATTATCCTTATAATCTTTATTTATTAAACGCGTAAAAAAATAAAAAAATTTATAAATCTTTTTTATTTATTTATATAATTAAATTAATCAATTAAATAAATTAAAAATAATAAAATTAATAATATTAATTTCGAATATATTTTATATAATTACTTTATAATCTTACGGTTTATATAAAATAAAAATATAATTATTATTAAAATATATTAAACTTATATTATTAATTTAAATCGGGGGTAATTTTAAAATATTAAATCAAATTAAAAAATACTTTTAATATTTACTTCGAAAATATTTTTTAAAAAAATTTTAGTTAAAAATTAATTTAATTATACATTTATAAAATAAAAAATCTTTTAATTCTTTTATAAACTCCTTTTTTAATTAAATAAAAAAAGAGGTAATTTTTAAAAATATAAGGTTTAATATAAAGAAATACTTTAATTTAATCTTTTTTTAATAAGTAATAATAATAAAAGAAAAATAGTTAAAATGGAAAAAAAATTATTAATAAAAAAAAGTAATAAAGGATTTTCTTTAAATCTTATTAAATTTTAATTTAAAATTTTAATATAAAATAAAATAAATAATAATTTAAAATACACATGTTATTTTAAAATATTAAATCTTTTTAAAATAATAAAAATTTATTTATAATAAAAATTATAAAAGGTTTAAAATATAATTAAGATTATTAATAATTTTTTAAAATTTTAAAATCTTTAATTTTTCCTTTTTTTTAAAAAAAAGATCTTAACTTATTTATAAATAATTTAAAATATATATCTTTTAATTTAACTAAATCTTTATTAATATATTAACTCCGCTTATATATAATTACATAATTATATAATATTCCTTATATAATAAATCTTAAAATAATTATCTTATATTTTTTATTAATTATCTTCTTCAACCAATAATCTCTTGGTATTACTGTTCGTATGATAATTAGTCGATATTTAATAAAGTATGTGATGTTAGAATTAAAGCGGTAGGATTTTAAGCTCTGATGAATGTGTGGTAAATATTGGTGAAGATTTTAAACTCTCCCCTTTTCTAAAGTCTTAAATGCTCTCGTGTCTCATGGCACCTTCCCGCAACTTATATACTACCTAGGCAACTCATTAGGTAGACTAGGTACATAGCCCGCTGCCAAGCTAGATGGTGCAGCTGCGGCCCTCAAAACACAGAAGGAGTAACCTAGGAACATGTAACAGTACCTGGAGGCTATCCGTGCGGCTATACCTGTCCAACGGTCAGCAAGTTCGATGAGTCAGTAATCTGGGTGACAATTACCTGGTAGGTACCTTGAGAGTATATGTTTTGATTGCTCCATTTGACCTAACCCATACGTAGGTAGTCAAGTCTGTAGGGCAACTAAAGTAGAAACCCTTCCGTAGATAATGATATACACTTATGGCTGCTTTGCCGTTCTACCCTTAACCTAGTTCCAACTTCTAACCTGTTACTAGCCTCTTCATCGCTCCTAGTCACCACTATCTCACGGCCTCACTAACCACATACCCCATAGGGTTCGTAGCTCTTAAGTAATATGGAGGCTTTACTGTTAGTGACAAGGTATTTGGCACAAGGTGGGATTAAATTGTGATGGTCAGGAGGGGAGGTTTCAACTTCGAATTTAAAACGATAACAGTGCGTTAACTTGCTGATAGAATATCAGAGGATTGTAATGATACTAATATATTTGTTACGGTTTGTTAATTGATATATAAGAATAAATATTGAAATATCCAAATACGTAAATATATGATTTTAAAATCTCCTGCACTCTCGGTTGTAAGGCTTTGTTATGGCTACTTTTCCAGCGATGTTCCTACTATTATGGGCTAGTCATACTTGACTTCAAGCCTCCTAGGAGGTGAGATTAAACAGCATTCTTCTTCCACAATAACCTATCTACAAGACTCTGTGTCTGTATACACTGGACATGTCTCATCTAGAATCCTGACTATCTTCTCGTACTTCTTCGTCGTAGCTACTTTCTCGCGCTGTGACAATGTCATAGTGCCTTGCGGTATCTCTTTACTTGCCCAACAGTCTATGCTCAATATAGATAGACCTCTGTAGCTACCCTTATTACCCTGAAATAACCCTCGACGGACGGCCCTTCTGTCTTCTCGTACTGCTTTATCGTAGCTACTTTCTCACAATGTATCTCGCATTGCCTCGTGTACCGTGAGTGTTATAATTATAAGGGCGTTGCGCGCTTCTTACAGTAAACCCGTGGAGCTACCACTAATTAGACCCTGAGAGAACCCTCAATGGATGGCATATTGGGATGGGAGTGAATCAACGCCCGCTCACCTTTACGATGTTGTGCGCCCCTTTCTATCCTCACTGTGACGGCACAGGAGCGCATTTGTGCAATATGAGTGAGGAATCCTATGCTAAGATACTACTGTCCCTGGAAATAGCTTGACTACTCATTGCAAAATACACGCATTACCTAGTTAGCTGGGCTGTCAGGATATGAACGTATCGCCATATCGGTGTAAGATGAGACTGTAATGCTCCGTAGTAGTTAAATAAGTTTGAAGTCTCGACAGCACAGAATAGCCTACTGACATTCAAACTGTCTCATTCTTAGACTCCATACTCTTATCACGAGGTAGAACCAAACAGTATGGAATCAACTTTGACCTACGGGAGCCTGCTAGTTATGTACTTCGTGCCAGATATCTCAGCTATCTGATTCTAACCCTGAGAAACGAGTTAACTGAATACACAGAGCATTCAATCCGAAACCATTCCTACCTAAGCTATCCCTACGTACCGCAGATTCAATAGCCCTAAAGGGACAGCTTCAAAGTGTCGCAAAGCAGATATCCGGAGACGTCAATTTCGGCCCGACCGGAAGAGATGTTCAGGCCATGATCGTAGGTTCTTTTAAAGCTTTTGTAGGATCCAAGGAGCTTTACGACGCCACGACGAAGCACATTACGAACTACATTGCCTCTGATCAAGGAAAGGAAATCCTGCGCGACGCTGCCACCAGCGAAGATGTCGTCAAGGTACTCAAGGTCCCGGTTCTAAACTTGGTGAAGCCGGAAGCTTTTGAATACGTCAAGGGCAAGCTGCAAGACTCGCCGATCCAGAAGAAGCCTCAGTCGAAGCTGCAGTTGCAACCGGAGACGCCTACGCCTACGCCGACTTCTGGTTGGTTGGGCTTTACGCCCCTGCAGCAGAACACCCAGAACACCCAGAACACCCAAGATTCGGCATCGTCATTCTTTGGACCGAGGGCACGAAAACGGGACGAAAGGGGCTCGCAAACTCAACAGGAGAAGGACAAGCGCCGCAGGAAGTGAAGGGATGCCGATATTGCTAAAGACGTTTTAGGCCCGACGATAGATGGCACGAAAGGGGCGGGGTTGATATGGGAGAGTAAGGTGTTAAAGGCAGCTTTAGCTATAGCTCATATTTTATAATGTTGTGTTAAGTTTCCCGTTCGTCGAGATAACCACCCGTCGAGATACCTGTAAATAAAAAATAGCCGTCTACCAGATCCTCATGCAAGAGGCTCTGCACACACACGGGTGCGTTAGACAGGTAGTCGGCCCTGTCAGGTGATTTAAAAACTCTGTTTACTAGTTCATCGTAACATCACTCATCCTCACGACCCCAGCATAGGTAATGAATCAGAATTCAACTATTGCTTCATCTTAAAGTTCTAATACGTATCGACTATGTGGTACCATCTAATGTCTCGGGAGTACACTTATCTAGTGTAAAAAAAGTACTAATTACGGCATGTATATGCGTGACGTTATTTTATGCGCATTGCTAGCATACTTATAACGTATGTGTAAGACCATTTCTAATGTAAGTTACGAAGCTGGCAGATAAAAGCTTGAGAAAGCCGCGCACAAGCAAACTTATTGCGAAAAAAGGTAGCCTAAGATAATTACCCTTATAAATTCGGGCATTTCTTAATTCAAACGCAACTCCGGAAAAGAAAAAAAGTCGATACGCGAAACATTTCGTACCTTCGTAAATCCACGGCATTATGTTATTCACGTTGAAGGGAACCAAGCTTTTTTAATGCGGGATTCTTATCCGCGATTCGTTAAGATCTCCTAAGGGTTGGTTGCGCTTGACTCGTCGACGGGGGAGGAGGGGGGCAAGGAGGGGCATCAGTCATTTCAACGTCCTAATAGTATGTGTCAGTTGTGTGACAGGTTAAAACAGGGCTGTTTTTTGCATAGCTGACCTGGTCGTGCTGAGAGGTGAGTCCTTTCTCGCCAAAGCACTTAAGAAGCATAGCTGCCGCAGAAGAGCGTTTCTCTGGGTCGACCGTTGCCATTTCGGAAATGACTGCAACTTTCTCTTCATTTGACGCTACATGCAAAACGGCATTTTGGGCATCCTTAGGACTCCGGAACCTTTTCGAAGCCTCGCGGAACCCACTGACATCCCAAGCCCATAACATCGTGACGAAAAGTGAACAAACGTCAAGTTTGGTGTTTGACACGTAAGTATTTCAGGAGCCATGTAGGGGGGAGTGCCAGCAAAAGTCTTGGCCATATCAGCATTGTTTCTCAGGCCAAAATCTCCAAGCAAAAAATGATATTGCTTGTTCTGGCGTGTTACGTAAAGAATGTTATCTGGCTTTACATCTCGGTAGATGATGCGTTGCGACTCAAGATAACCGAGCGCTCGTAGCATGTGACGTAGGACGGTGATACAAAGGTTGTCAATATCGGTTGAGCACCCGCCTTCGATCAACGTTGTCAAGTTCCCTTCTTTAAGGCCCATAAATATCTTGAACTCTTGGCTGGTACAGTCATCTAACCCTACCTATGTAATCGACAATATGTAACTGGCATTACTATTGGTTTGTACGAATAGGAGCTTTAAAGACGTCTTGCTCGCGTTGTCAATTCGGGAGAGTTTTTCCACTTCTCCTTTCACGCGTTTATAAAACGACTGCATATCTTCTGGAGTTGCTTCACGTGGCTTTAATACCTTGACAGCCATAAACATGCCCGTGTCTACATCAATGGCTTTATATACTTCTCCAAACTCCCCACTGCCGAGCGTATTTTCCTTTACGTGTCTCATCTTCAGTTGTCGAGCTCCTGGCGTGTGCACTCTAGTCTGCCGTTGAGTCGAGGACGCAGTGATGGACTCGTCTAAGGTCCGAGAAAACCGCAGGTGCTCTTCGAGTGTAATGGCTTCTCTCCCTTTGACCAGCTCTATCGTCTCAGTAAGGCCGCCATTATGCCAAATCAACTGGAACTGGATGAGGTCCCGCGCCACACCACCCATTCCTATGTATATGTTTAGGCCCTGCCGCACAAGGACCTTGCGAGGGCGTCCAGGTTCGAGCGGGAAAGCATTGTCTTGGCCGAAGACTTGGCTCGTCTGACTGTGCGATCTATCGTAGAACATGACAACTTTGGTGTATGGGTTGATCTCGAACGAGCATTGGTTCCTAGAGAAGCTAGAGCCTTCTACATATATATCGCCGTTACGTCCTAAGGTTGCAAGAGTGGGATCACCCAACATCGAGCGGACATGACCGATATCGAGAGCAAGTCTTCCGTCCTTCTGCCGCGAGACGAGGTGTTTATTATATGGGTGGTCAAGAACTGCTTGGCTTCGCTCGTTCAACGGGAGGAGAGAGAATAAGGCTAGAGGATGGGGCCCAGCATGAGGCATTATTAAGCGATGGAATGTAGCGAACTGCTGAAGCAAGGAAGAAAAAAAAGAAAAAAAAAAAAGGAATCGAGGCTAAAATGGGCACGGCAGCCGAGCAACGAAGAAGAAAATGTGCCCTAACAGAAAATCGCAAGGAAGATCTTGTCTGTTTTATTGATCACAGCGACGCGCTGGCCAAATACACCTTCTGTTGGCGGAGCTGCATCTCTCCTGGCAGCGTATCCCCGCGCTGTAAGATAAACTTGGTTACAGGTTATCTCAGGTGACCTCAGATCAGGAATTCGGAATCTTGTTTGTTTCGTTGTATCCTCATAGCTACATTACCTCTTTATAAGCCGCCTCGCCCAGCCTTCCCTCCCAAACGACTGATCTAAGGTACTCCCGAATAGGAGGGCTTCCCATATTTCTAAAAAGTATTTTCAATTCTTTAATTAAAACGCAGCACTTTTTCAGGGTGCGTATGACAATATGAGGTATTCTCTAAGCTGCTACCTACCTAGGTACCTAGGTATGTACCGTTTGAAGGGACGGGAGGATTTAGTCTAAATATACATGTATGGTACCTACGTGACAGCCTTCAATGTTCGTACAATGCCATGTTTAATGTAGCAGGGTTTTTTTTTGCGGCTCTATGGATGTACTAGTACGGAAGTCGCCTTCAAAAGTTTTGTCCATAGGCCAACCCCTATCGGCTTGGCAAAACTTGGTGACAACTGTCGGATAGACAAGGTAGGGTTAGGAAAGGAAGCACAGACGATACGTAATGAGGCTCTCACGATCTGTTGTTGTGTTGTGTTGTGTTGTGTGTGTGTGGGTTAGCCTAAAAGGTAAGCCCTTTTAGGCTTAGCCCCACGCATGGGGCGACACGTGACGAGATTACATAATTGGCTATTCCCCATATTCCAACAACAACTGTTAGCCATAATGATAAATGTACCTCTAAATATGCTATATTTTGATTTGCTTCTTAAATTTCAAATATAAGAAATATCTTATTAAAATATATACTGTAATAAAGGTACAAAACCATGCGTTCTGGCGTGGCGTAGCGCAAGCGGGAGGTACATAGTGGGGTAATTAATGGATCATTCGCCTGTCTACCCAATGTAGTTGAACTCGCGCCGATCGCCGCCCCACAAAATGAACATGGCCAGCCTCAGTCGAAGGTAATCGTCGCAAAATAAAGTTCCATAGTGATTTTCCTCCCAGACCTAGGTAGTTTTTAGCCTATCTGTTCTCTCTAATTGTACTTCTGATTTCATAAACAATACTCTTCCCCATGGCCGATACGATCCGAGGAGATGGCCTGCTTATGGCTCACGATGCCTTAGCAGAACTGATCGAAGATCCTCAGCGACTTGATCGTGCAAGAAACCGCTTCAGCAATTCTCCGCCAACGTACGGGTCTTATCCGTCAGGTACCACAACTCGATCTCAAAGCCCTAACCCACCGAGTGAGGAACAGCGACGCCGCGAGGAGCGAAAATGACAGCTAATACGAGAGTATCGGGAATCGGTTCCTTCCAATCAATTCGACGCGCAAAAGTACGAGGAGCATCACCGGCTATTCAAACCAACTCCGGGAAGCAGCTGCGTAGGCGATGATAATCTTCTAAAACTCGGGGAAGAAACCGTCAAGAAACGCTGGATTGAGCAGGGAATATGAAGCGACAAGTGGGAAGATAGGGGGAATATATGGAAGTGGAAGCACGAAATACCGCTCAAGATCGAGTCTGAATCTGAATCTGAATCGGAGACAGACTCGGAAGCCCAAGGGGATGTACTTCTTTCCCGCTCTGCCCGTACTATTGGAGGGGTGAAACGGAGGCGGCCGAAAAGCGATGAGGAATTGCGATTGATTGCGAATCGGAGGCTTATGCGAGAGCGCGGACGCGAAGCATCACGTCCATTCCATCAGTTTATTTACCAGATATCGAAAGAACGCGAAATAATCCAGAGCAAGTTAGGGCCCGAAGAGTCTATTTCCTCAGGCTTGACCGACATCAACACCAAGGCCTATGAGAATGTGCAGAGCACTTGGATAAAAAGAGGCATTTGGAATAGGAAATGGGGAATACTGCCGGGAATGTTGTGGAAGCACGAACAACCTCTCGACGAAATGCTAGTCGAGGAGATGGGGCCCGATCCTGCTGGTCAAGCGAACCCGCTAGAGGATGACGGTCGTAGAGTAGAAGCACGTTCTCCGCCTAGGCAAGTATTTGAGCCCTTTCCACCGGTCGAATCGAACTCCAGTTTGGCGTCAGGCTTCCCGGCTGCGTCTCAGCGAGAAATGCCTGCAGTTCCTAATCCAGACGGGTTACAGACTAGCAGTGCGAATCACTCACCCTCGGCACCAAATTCACAACGCCGCCTTAGAGAGGGCAGACAGGATGCTCGCTCTGCGACGGGGCAAAGGCCACGGCCAGGCCAGAGAATGCCGTCCCCGGAGGATGGATGGGTTCGGCCAACAGCAGGTACGGTTCTCGGGCTAGTTCATCCGACGAAGGTATCAAAAGCACCCAGAAAAGAGCTTGGCCCTCAACGACGAAAGAATGCCTCCAAATTACGACCCAATGCCCCTGTCGTACCTGCTTCCAAGCCTGCTCCTGTACCGCCGCGGAGAAGCAGACGTTTACAAGAAGCAAAATACAAAGCGTCTACCAATCCAGCCGTGGTTGCTTCTACAGACTTAGGCAACGGTACGTCCCTACCACGGCCTAAGAAGACCACAATAAGTCCGAAGTCCTCAAGTTTGGCGAAACCGAGGGGAGTGCCCAACAGACCAGGTACCAGGCATCCAAGGTCGAAATGGGATGGGGCTCTCAGCCTATATAAAGGGTATTGCTTTCCCAATTTCTCAGGATTGCATTTCATTCTTTCTCATGCTGGCGTCTCAATCTAACAAGCGACGTGCTAAATTTGTAGTCTCTTGAGGATTTCCTGGTGTATTACATACTGCGAGACGGCTATTTTCCGTCGCCTACAGGCATCTCTCCGGGTAGTTATCTCATTAACTTATCAGCAGCAGCACGCCCAGCATGGCCATCCCCATTTATAATCGATCTCACGGATATAAACAGGACGAGGATAATTGCCAAGTACCTGTTGCACTCCAATTATGATAGACGATATTGAAACCATTAACCTTACCACGATCAATGACTTGGGTGGGGATTATTCGTCAGTGTCCCATATCGTGATACCGCAACTATGCACCGTATACGCTGGTTTGGTGCGATTCCAGAAAATTCTACTGTCGCATATCGTACTAGGAGGATACATCTAACCGACCGCCTTTAGGGCTATCACGGCCGACCTTGTTGATCAATCTTGCTGGAGCTTTGAAGGTAGGAGGTTGCATGTCACACGACAAGGCAGAGGCGTAACGAGAAAAGCTGCCATTGCAACGCGTCGGTCGTCAAGATTTATAAGTATGACAAAATGATAGCTCGATAAATACTAAATTCGGGGTGTTATTTTATGCTAGCGTTCACTATTGTTACGATGACTCAGGCCGGTACCTATCTGCTGTTCATAGGTATCTTATGTGTAAGACCATTTCTAATAGGTTACGAAGCTTACAAATCATAATAGCGGGCTTAACTCCTAAACAGCCAGAGTGTGGATTTGAAACCGCCATGGCTAATCCACTAAACCCGTTTATACCACGCCTTGAAAAATATTCATCGGCTTTGATTTGCCCTCTCTGTAGAAATTCTAAACAGGAGACATGTCACCACAGCTAACTAGGTTAGCATTTCAAATATTCGGAGCGATACGACACTAATGACATAATTTGGCAATATTCCCGAAACCTGCCCACTAATCGGCGACCACATCTTGGAAGATGCGCAAAACAGACCTAGAACATTCGGCCGATCGGCAAGACCTGAATCCGAATCGCTGAGGATGAATAGAAGGCTAGGGGTTCCGGTGATATATAACATGATCATATAACATGGTCGACCAAGCCGTACTCTTCTGCTTCCATTCATCATCTCCTCTTGATCTTAGTCCTTAGTCCTCAGCCCTCAGCCCTCAGTTCTCAGTCAACGAAAAAAGATGGCTCAAACATCGCGCCTCTTCCAGCCACTGAAAGTGGGAAATGCAACCCTCCAGCATCGCCTGATAATGGCGCCCTTGACCCGTTTTCGCGCCAACACGGAGTACGTACCTCTCCCGTTCGTCAAGGAATACTACGAGCAGCGCGCCTCGGTACCGGGGACTCTGCTCATCACGGAGGGAACCTTCATCACGAGGCGAGCAGGGGGGTATCTTAACGTCCCGGGGATTTGGTCCAAGGAGCAGATAGCAGCGTGGAAGGAGGTCACGGACGCCGTCCACGCCAAGGGCTCTTACATCTACGTACAGCTCTGGGCGTTAGGCCGCCCTGCTAACCCGGACGTCCTCAAGGCCGCTGGTGCCGATCTTATTTCCGCCAGCGCCATACCGTACGAGGAAGGCAAGCCGGTTCCGAGAGAGCTAACGATCGACGAGATACGGTCGTTCGTGGCCGATTACGCGCAGGCAGCTCGCAACGCGGTCGAGGCGGGCTTTGACGGCGTCGAGATCCACGGGGCCAACGGATATCTAATCGACCAGTTCATCCAGGACGTGTCTAATCACCGGCAGGACCAGTACGGCGGTAGCATCGAAAATCGCGCCCGCTTCGCAGTCGAGGTCGCCAGCGCCATCGCGGATGCTATCGGTGCTGAAAAGGTCGCGTTTCGTATATCCCCTTGGTCTACGTTCCAAGGGATGCGTATGGAAAACCCGGTTCCACAATTCACATACCTAATCCAGGAGCTGAAGAAGCTAAAGCTGGCGTATTTACACGTCGTCCAATCGAGGACCGTCGACGAGATCACAGACATAGAAGCTGCCGAGCAGGTTGCGTTTGTGATCGACGCGTGGGACAATATATCGCCTGTCCTCGTCGCGGGTGGCCTCCAACCAGATGTTGCAAAGAGGATAGTAGACGAGCGATTCAAGGATAAAGACGTCGCCATGGTATTTGGCAGGTATTTCATCTCTACTCCGGACTTACCGTTTCGGATAAAGAAGGGTCTGCCCTTGAACCCTTACAACCGCGGTACCTTTTACATCCCAGAAAGCAAAGAGGGCTATATAGACTATCCTTTCAGCGAGGAGTTTATCAAGGCGTCGGCCTAGGTGATGATGGCCCAGGAGAAAGCTTGAACCGAGTTAATATTGCGAGGTTTCACGGCCTAACGCTTCAGCTAAGTTGTGCGTAATACGTACTACCGAACAAAGCATCCTGTATTATCAGTTTAGCTTGAGGGTAGACTGTTTCGGATACGCGAGAGGAAGGATGTGGACCACGCCATAAACGTGACGTTAGCTACGCGAAGACTTTGAGCGGGAGTACTAGGAGTCTAAGGAGACGAGGTTTAGTTCAAACCCTACATTCTAGTGTAACTAAGATCGACTATCGACTGCTAGTTGTTGTAGATTACCAGTCTGCCGCTTATATTTAGAACAGGTGTTCCATCATACATAGTTCCATCATATAAGTCTTCCAAGTCATTGACGATTTCAAGCCGGGGATACAGCTACCGCAGTCTATTCGTGCCACGACTCCAGTCACCATATGTACCTCTAAAATATGCAGATTCTACGAAGGTGAGAAGTAGATTCGTGTCGGGATTCTAGATGCGACATCTAGAACAAAGAACATATTCAGTACGTATAGACGTAGATTCTCGCAGTCAGGTTAGAGTGAGGTGGTCCAATCGCATATACGAATTAGATTCGCCCCAAAACCCACTAGGAATACGTAGACGGCCATTAGTTACCGGCGACGACATAGCGGTATATAAAGAGAGATAGACAAACGCTCGTAAAAGGGTATAGATACGGTTATACGGGCATGTACCGGATGCTCTCTTGGATGTCGAATAATGTGCGCTGAGAAATACATGGAAGATGGGAAGAAGCGTCTGCCTTTGCTATGGGGTCTACAAATGATAGGTTAGATAGGAGTCGTTTATCTGAGTCCGACTTCACTTACAATCCTGAAAACCCCCTAACCTACAGCATTAGTCGCACTAATTGGGCACCTGATTTAACTAAATGAGCACCGTGATTTGGATATTCGAATCAGTACTTGGGTAGGTATATAAATTCGTCTGTTCTTATACTTATCCTTCTATCAGCTTTGACTGTGATTCGATTACTTCATGCTGCATCCCAAGCTTAAAGCACAGTATAGATTCTCAGACACGCCATCAATACGTACCTAACATTGAACAGCTATACAGACTAGGTGATTCTAGAACGTATTACTTTCGCTCTCTTCTATTTACGTGAGCTAGTGAGGTCGAGATGAAAACAGGTGCGGGCACAAGTTCGAATAACTAACAGGATCCAGCAGCAAGGGTTGCGAGTTTGGAAGCAAACCGTATCGCAGCTGGATGCTACCTCACATGGCGGTGTCACCAGTGATAGCGATTCTTCTCCAACCAAGGTCGAACCAGCCAGATGCTGGCCGCGGGAGACGAATAAAAATATATAAAACAACCCGAAGCGTGTGCTGATACTATTGGTTTCTTTCGGACCTGCTTATTAAGTTCCGACGGTAGGCAGAAGTACTTTTAGGGGGTGGTCCAACATCACCGACAAACTTAACCTCATATATTTAAGAGACGCCTTACGACAGGATGAGTTCTTTCAATTCGTGCGAGCCTGAGATCCCAGACTATTATGCAGATTTATGGATACCGCAGCAGGCTAGCCTTCAAGATATCAAGGCGGCTTTTCGAAAGTTGGCGAGAAAGTACCACCCAGATAAACAGGCTCCTGGCCAGTCTATCGATGCTTATGAGTTTCGCAAGGTTCGCTCCTGTAAGCTTACGGTAGTGATAGCTTGTTTCTAACCAAATTCCCGTTTGTGACATAGGTCCGAGAGGCTTACGAATACTTGACGGATAAGGATAGACGGCAGGCATACGATGTTTATTACCCCGAACTACGGGATAGGTGGGCTGTCTATAAGGCACGGAGACAACATGAACTTAGGTTTGAAGAGGTGAGGCGAGCCGCTAGGGCAAAAGCGGAAGAAGAGAAAAAGGCGGCAGGATACGAGAGAGCACGTGAGATGGAAGAAGAATTAAGAGCTGCTGCGGAGAGAGAAAAGAATGAAAAGATAAAAAAGGAGAAGGCAAGGCAGGCTGAAGAGCGCTCTCGGGAGGCGGCGCGGAGAGCCCGCGAGCAACAAGAGCAGGCCGCAAAAGATAGGCTGCGCAGGCAAAAGGAAAAGGAAGCAGAGAAGAGATCGGAAGAGGCGGTGAGAAAAGCTAGGACCGAACGGGAGCAGGCAGCGCAGGAACGGCTGAAAGCCATCTTGATCGAAGAAAAGCAGGAAGCTTCTCGTCGAAGCTGGGCTAAGATGCGTGAAGCGGCAGATCAAAGAGAAGCGATAAAGCGACAACGAACCTGGCCCAGGCAGTCTAGGCCTATCCAACGCGAGGAGGCTCGTCCCCTATATACCTGGAGAGAACGAATGGCTGCGAAAGAGCAGCAGGAGGGGACCTCGCGAACTGCATCTACGTGGGCGCAGCCGGAAAATGCTGCGCGACCTACGCCTCCAAATACGAAGTTGAATACTCGCCACAGCTGGAGAGAAAGAACCTCCGCAAAAGTACCAGATGAGGGCCCTCCACGAGCTGTACCTCGGCAGCCTTTTGGGAGTACCTCACCCAGATCTACTTGGCGAGAGAGAGAAGCGGCTAAAAACTCCAATTCTCCCAGAGCTGTATAAAAGAGAATGAATCTCTCGTAAGAATTCAGCCGTCTCGAACCTCTAGATAGCATGAGGTATATCAGCATTGTATTCGTACCGATATCTAGCGGGAGATGCATTTCACAAAGCGTGGTCGCTGGAAAGGGGTTCACCCTAGGGGTGACGGCTGGGGTAATTTCAGAATATAAATTAAATTGAAAGCAGTAATATAATAGTAATTTGCAAGCCTTTGATTAACGCTGTGATTGTATTTTGATGTCATATAGCAGTGCTCAGTAGATGCTTCGTCCCTTGTTTTCGGTACCCTGGAGCTATTCTTATTTTTCTGGTCCGCCCTCGCGTATGCCAACCCCCTACAATTGATATAGCACGAAACAAGTTACAGTCGCCAATGTGGCAGCTTGCCATACTAACAAAACCGCCAGCCATATTGATTGAAAGAGTCCACATCGAACAATCCAAAGAAGAATGCTGACTTGCCGTACTTATTAACCCTAATCAAAGAGGTAACGTTTATACTGATGTATTCACACTACCGGCTAGCTGAAGTATCTTGGATGAAAGGCGCCTTCGCCAGCGCGTCTGCTTGGACTTTCCAAATTTCCTTTCCCAACGCTATGAGCTCCAGTCCAAAATCGTCGAGCAGCTGCTCCACACCAAGCTCGCCGTTCCATATCATGCGCAGATACTCCTCGTCTGAGCCGAGCGTGGCTACTTTCCACGTAGCTTTCCAAATATCGATCGCTCGAACAGCCTGAGGATGGCAGCTTTGGACGTCCGTAGCTACCATATAAAAGGAAGAACGTTTGGCGTGGCCTGACTTGGGCTTTAGAAGTTTGACGGTAGAGAATTTGTAGAATCTCCACAGGATATTTGCGGTATCCCACGCCTCAAGCTTGTGGAGAAGAACAATCATGGTCCCCCCTGGTCGCAAGTGCTCGAGTCCAAGAGCCAACTGCGTGGCTAACAACCTCTTCGCTTCTCGCCGCTGTCGATATGGGGCCCGCGTATGCGTCCGAAGAACCTGGCCGTCGCAGAAGACTAGGTCGAAAATTTGCTGCGGCTCGAGCTGACGCGGTAGAAACCTATCGGTATCGGGGTGGTCCTTGGGAATTTCCTCGACCCCCATCTCTGCCGCAAGCATGGTGACATCGAGATACCTTATCTCAACTTCCGACTTCGTACGGAGTAAGACCTTGTGGCCGCCGTCAGATACGGGTAAACTAAAAGCCAAGGCTCTAGAGTTCGGAATTTTGCTCAGAGCGACTTCGAGAAACCCCCCTGGCGCCATGCACATGTCGAGGATATATGGTGAGCTGTTCTGTACGGCGAAGGCGCCCGTAGATCGATGAAGCTCGTGTCCAATGCGTCTCATAAGCTGGAAGAAGTACGCAGCTGTCCGGTCGTCGGACTTGTCGGCGTTCTGACGCTGCTTCTGAAAGAACGAGTCTCCCTCGGGGTTGTCCCATCCCTATTCCACGTGTCAGTGCTATCTACGGAATTTGTGTTTACGGCCCCTGACCCTTTGACGGAGCTCGCTAATCTCTCGAAATTCGGCACTCCGTTCGAGCAGATATGTCTTAATGGCTTTGCTTGGGTCCGCATGAGCAGATGGTAGTTCGTCGAGCTTTTCGGATAGCGTTGGAGCCTGGCCGCGGAAAAAGAGAGGGTTCGGGGACTTGAGGGCTTCCATAACGACGTTGAAATGCATATGGATTTATCTAGAGAAGCTTTAAGCGACGGCGGGATTAAATATAACCATTCTCCATATGTTGGAGAGATGAGAGGCATGGTACCGTCCGAAATAGTTCTCTTTGGGCATCGCTGCATATGCGTATAATTAGTCAGGTGCTACTTGATAGCAATCGCTCCCCGCACCTGTGTATGTTCCCGATGTATGTTCCCGACCATTGAGGCTGGCAGATGTGGTAGTACAAACGCCGTTGGTTACGGTCATCATGTCCATTAGCGTCGAATATATTTAAGCACTACCTATATAATGGAACGCTACCTAGCAGGTATACCAATCGCTGCCCGCGCGTATATCTTTCGTGACAATTCCGCCGAATTTGATAAGACCAGCCTTATACGATATCAACAGCCTCATATAAAATATATACCTGGTTGACTAGCTAGTCCACCCTATGCATCTCACTTTTGCTCCTGTGAGCCTCAATCTGATCCCGTCTTTTATTGATGCATGCGACCTAGTAAAAGTAGCGTAATTCCTTTCGTACAAACAGCGGCTGTGGTAAGTTTGTATACAACTTCAGGCATCTTTTACAGTGGCCGATTACTGTATCGTACCCAAGTTACTACTTGTATATGTCTATTACGTACGCACCTCATTTTTTCCCCTTTGACCTATCTAGTATGAGAATTCTTACCCAGATTCTAACTCAGTTTCCCGCATTTCCCGGCTTCGACGAGGCTATCTACCCAGGGCGAGAGGATATCAGTCCATGAAATCGCCACGCAGCAGTCTTCCAGATAGACGCCGTTGGCCAAGTTCGTGATTCGTTCTCGGTTGCTTCCCGAAGAACGGGACTAGTGCTGTACTCGCGTGTGATCACTGGATCAAAGGCGGCATACACTAGGGTGCTGGCTCCCTACTCTGAAGTCTGTGCCGTGAAGTACGTTGTGTAGTCTACCCAGACAATGTGGCATCCGTAAAGACTGGCCGTCTCCTCCATTGTATCTATTGCTTTAATTAGACACATAAGCGAAACTAGAAGCCTGTCAGGCCAGGAGTGCCGTGAAACGACTTACTTGACGCATCCATATCTGAGGCATCATGACGAACAGTTTGAAGTAAGATCTGAGGTTTGAAATAATCAGTCCAGGCTGTATACTGAAGGCGGAAAGGTTGGTCTTCTTTCCTAACCTCTCGGCACGAGATGGCCATAAGTATATTAGCCGTCTTCGATTGTCCGTATGATATCCTCTTATGGTAATCATAAACAGTTCTTTGCTGAAAATGAAGTTTCTCGACCTATATCAAAACGTCACAAGTACTCGGGACCTTGTAGGTAAAGCTAGTCGAATATCTCGAGGACGTGGCACTCGGTTCATTTCAAGAATGATCAGACCAAACCGCTTAATACTAAGACCTGTCATCGTTCGATCTAATTGGCATACTTTCCGCATTGAAGCTCTTTAGCCGTATAAACTGTAGGATATTCAAAGAGAGGCGTCGAATTTTGCCTTCAATACGAATGCCTAGCACGCCCCTTAATACAAGATATCTTCCCATACCGGTCATGACCCGAACTCTCCAACATACCGTGACCTGACAAGACAGCCGACAACACACGACCAATACTCCCACACTCGAACGACATACACACAACGGCTAACATCCCTCAAGGCACATAAACCTCACCCCTCAAGCAATCTTCTTCGCACGTAATCCGCGAGCGCGACGACGACTAAATACTAGCGGGCAACGGAAGCGTGCGGCGTCCAGGAACAGACTACGGCTAGGCCCGCTAGTAACAAGAACACGTTGATGAGTTGCAGGAGCAGGACTAGCGCTTGAGGGGGGAGAGGCTCCGAGACGGGGAGGGCGCAGTTGGGAACCTGCGCGGCAAAGAAGGCGGCAGGGTCGCGGAGGGCGACGATGTAGGCCCATATGCTGGGTGTTGTTAGCATCCCTTTCTCTAATTTCTTTACATGATATGGATGTCATATGTAAGCTTATACAAGCAGGCTGAACACTTACAGAAGAATAGGCTCGACGACGCCGAACACAACGAGCGGGAACGCGGGCAAGCAGCTTTTCGCCATGATTTTGGTAATTCTACAATTCTGAACTATTTGACCATAGGAGAGAATGCCTAAGATTAGCTAGGGCAACGATGTGATTTTTATCCCTTTGTTGTCCCGGCTATAAGTGGCCGGTGTTTGCTATATACTAAGATAGGTGCATCGTAATTCAATTAAACGCCTTCCTGCCCCGAGAAGATGCACGCGTTGGTAGATTTGTTTATGCGTATACGAATATCAAACGACTACAATTAGGGGGGGGGGGGGGCGTGTTACGCCAATGTTTATACGTTGGCAAGGCTGGCGTAGTACAACGCCCGATATGAGAATAGGAATCTGACACGTTTTTAATTTAAAGAGATGAGAAGAAGAAGAAGATGAGAAGAACCAATGCTATTACGTAGCTACATATTAGGTAATTACTCAGCTTTAATAACGTCCAAGCCGTGGGGGGAAGCTCGCGAAGGATTACGTTCCCTGGGTACTAAAAGTCCGATAATTGTAGCGATCGAGTGTGAGTGGTATTAAGATTAAGTATGGAAAGCCGTAGCAGCGGCTGTCTACAGTCGCGGTACTGCGCATCCTAATTTTGCCAGCATCATCCAACGCCAACGCCTTTGCTCACATCCGCACCACCTAAATTAGCTCTTCATTTCCCGCATTAATCGTGCCTGTCGATGCGCATAGCCTGGTGTAACATTCAAACGCGTACATAATTCGAACGTTGCAAACGGTACGGCATCGAAACGCGACCCGACACCCCCTAAAAAAACAACAACTGTCGAGTCATAGTGCTAACGACTCGAGTAAACGCCCTTCCCATGCTCCCCGAGTGTGTACACATCTCATGCCACTTCGGCCGATTCAATCCAGAATACCTTGTCGCGCCTTGGAAATGAAAAGTAACGAACGTCCCTAGGATAATACAACGAATGTGTGCACCAAATCGGTGCGCGCGGCAAGGCATCTACTGGGCCTTTGCGGATGCCTTTTTAGCTTCTGCCTCTACGAACTCTTGGGCCTTGGTCCTCGATCGTTCGTATTTCAGCGTCGTGTCGCCGTGCCACATGGTGCCCAAAAATCTATCCCAGAAGGTAAAGAATGGTTGCGCAAAGTTTGTCTTGATGCCCCAGCTCTGGTGGTGAATATCGTGGTATGTGGCGTTGTTCGAAGTGATGTGCTGAAGCGGGTCCCAGGGCAAGGCATATCCGCAGTGGTCATCGACGGTCTTGATCGAAGACATGACCCAGAAAAATATTCCCTGCCTGGGCGTCATAAACGCGACCTTATACGCAAGGCCTGCGCCGACCGTGTCGAGAAGGAATCCCTCGAACGGGTGGTTGTACAAAGCTCCGTAAGCGTAAGGGACGTAGAGTCGGTGGTGCCTCGAGTGGAACGTAGCTAGAAGACTGTTAGTCGATATCGTCTACCAAAGAGGAAAAGGGGATACGAACTGTAGAGCCACTTATTTTGGTGCATCAATCGGTGAAGGAAGTATTGCCAAGTATCTAAGGCGGTGACAGCGACAAAGAGCTGGAACCCCGGGATGATAGCCCAGTAGATAGCCTTGGCGACTAAGAGCTCCCAAGTGGCGAAAGCGGGTACCAGAGCTCCGTCTGGTCCGGCAAGCTCGGAGGTGAGGAAAGGGTAGTGACCGCCAGCAAGGGCGCCAGCGAGGAACGGATGAGACACGGCCATATTCTTAGAGATTGTAGCAGCATTGATTCCTAGGACGCCGAGTACGGTCGGAAGAGCTCTCTGCGCTAGACGAACTCTCGTCGCCCAGACGGCAACGTCGTAGTCCTCCATACCAGTATATTGCGGCGCATCAGTCTCGTTCAGGAAGAGGGCCATGAAGCCTTGAATAACCTGTTGGAAGAGAACATCGCGAAGGACCTCGAATCGCGAGGCCTTATTCCGCTGCGCAATCTCGGCGGGAGTGTGCAGGCGGTATTGCGGGAAAAGGTCTAGGGTGTCAATTATGTGGAAGAAGATGGAGACGACCCAGTACGCGATGGTGGGCGCGAGGAGAGACAAGTAGAAGTCGGGCAGCCATGGTATTAAGTCTGGCGCCACGACGGCTTCGTAAGACGGAAGTGGTGGGAGGTCCGTGTTGGACGTTATATTAGTAGCCATGACGGTGAGGCCAAGCGCAGAAGATGGTATAATTGAGGGAAAAAACAAGCGAGATGGATAAAGTTGTGCTGCTGGTTAAGAGTTTACCAATTTACCAGGACGCGTAGCGGGTTGTGTTAAAAAAGGATCGTCGCGAAGGAGTAAGGAGTGTAAGGTTACTTGAAAAGCTGTAGGTTAGGGGGTTGAATTAATTTAGGGAGTCTCAACTCTGAGGATTATGAATAAGATAAAGTTTTGACTTTTGGCGCGTTGGATCTTTCAGTGGTCCGTCATCATTCCATTGTCAGTGCATGAAGGCATGTACAGCGGGTCCCCCTTTTTATCGGTTTTATCAATCTCGGCTGTCTAACCGTGCAGGTCCGAGATCACCTGTTTTTCCCCGACTGCCGTTACTTACCTTGTACCTGTCGTATGTAAGTCGGGAATGACGAACCTTAACGAAAGGAATAAAAGGTACATAGGTAGGTAAGACAAGTTGATGGGTTCGAGGGTATGAATTATATTTGAAGCCTACTACCCCTTATCAAATTAAGCTACCTGTCAGCCTGTGCAGCCTGCGCAGCCTGCGCAAACCGTGTAGCTCACGCATTGTGCATTCTGCATGTTGAGCATTAGTGGTGGCAAAGTGGGTTCGCTTCAGATCAATATTCGAGGTTTACATAGGCAATTGGAAACATTCGGTACATGTAGTATGTATTTCGGACACCTCGGAAATCCGATATGTATTCGAGGCTTTGGTCCTGCGGGTCCGTACAACACACCGAGTGAATTAAATCTCTCATCAGGAATATAATGGATAAATGAATAACGTAGGGCTGTATGTATGTATTTGTATAGTAGGCTCATTATGTAATGCTTACCTAGTGTACTTAGTTACCTGAAATTCAACAGGCAAAAAAATACGGAGCAAAAAATTCTAGATCTAATCGGCACGCTAGTTTAGGTTTAGCGCGTTCGCCCCTCCATTGAAACTGCCACTTTCACTTTCGTCCTGCCCAAATTTTTGAGAGTCTCCGCCAGGAAAATCTGCCCCTCATTACTTGTCGCAAAAGCCGTCTTCTTCCTCCTCTACTTAACGGCCTTCCATCGTTCATCCTTCGACGATCACATCTTCTCCTTTCCTATCCTTCATCAGATTCTTCTACTCCTACCGCCAACATGATTATTTTCAGGGTATGTGAAAATTTAATTGCACGTCGTGTTAGAAACGCTTCGCGAATATGTACTGACGACCCTGCCTATATAGGACGCCCTCACTGACAGCAAGGATGAGCTCCTCTCCGACTCCTTCAAGCTGAAGGAGGTTGACGGAATCGCCTACGAAGCTGACTGCGCTATGATTGAAATCGGTGCCGTCGATGTCGGTATGCTGGCCTTATAAAACTTCTGGGCCACGCTGGCTCGCGAGTGGGTTGGCTACTAACGGATTTTCGCAGACACTGGCGCCAACGCCTCTGCCGAGGACGCTGATGAAGGTGTTGACGACTCTGCCCAGAAGGTCAACAACATCATCCACTCCTTCCGCCTCCAGCCTACCAGCTTCGACAAGGCCTCGTATCTCTCGTACCTAAAGGGTAAGATACCTTTTTCCTTGCTAGGACCTGGATGTCGACTAAGCGTTACGTATAGGTTACATGAAGAAGCTTGCCAAGCACATCAAGGACAAGGGTGCTTCTGACGAGGAGGTCAAGGATTTTCAGACTAAGGCCCAGGCCTTCGCAAAGAAGATTGTCAGCAACTTCAAGGACTACGAGTTCTACACTGGTGAGAGCATGGATGTTGACGGAATGTGAGTTTTCAGCTTTGGCCCTTTCCCAAACGGACCGCGTACTGATGCTCGGATCCTAGGGTTGTTCTTCTCAACTACCGTGATGATGGTGTTACCCCCTATGTCACCATCTGGAAGCACGGTCTGGATGAGATGAAGGTTTAAGAGCCTACCTAATGATTGTGGCTGAACTTGTTAACGAATACCATACACGAATCAACCCAGACGACCTGACGCTTCTTTTCTATGTCTATAAAAACCCCAATTTAGGCATATTACATAGATTCGTTCTCTTACGAATGCTAACCGGTGCATTGCGCAGCCGAAGCCTAATTTACTGACGAGTTGTCAACGTATCGCTCCTTTCTGCACGGTTCTTGGGGCCGTACCGTTTTGTGACCTTGATTTCTGATTCTATCTTCATGTTACCATACTCCGAGCGTCGGTCAATGATGCAGACATACTTCGTAGTAGACGTGGACACCTGGTTGCTTATTTCCGTCTCAGTTAGAATTTCGGTCTCGAAGCCAGCGGTACGGGGGGTGGAACGCTTTCGCTGCCGTCACCGGATAGCTGAGGTTTCTTAGCTGGAGGTGGGGGGGGAGGCTTCTTCTTTCCTATGAACCCTGAAATTTGCCCCATTGGTGATGTCGTGGTTCCTTGCCCGTTAGCTTCCACACCACCAAATCGTTGGTTTAGCTCGTTTGCTGTTTTTAACCCCGACGCAACTTGATCCCCGTGCCTCTGCTGGAAGTTGTACGCTGTCCCAGCAGCAGCTTTCACGTCTGCAAATGATACGGATGAGGGGTCTTTCCTGAAACTCGTTGCTGTCTTGAATGCTGCCTGCTTCTCTGCCCACGTTGTGCCCTGTGCCGGCGCGGTCGTAGGATCTTGTTGAGTATTGCCAGCGCCGAGACGAGAGAAGCGGCTTTGTAGTTCGTTTAATTGTCCATTGGATGGTTTTGTTGATAATCCTCTTGCAGATGACGCTGTAGTTGGCGATCGAGCAGGAGGCGGTGGAGCAGAACTTCCCGCCTTTCCTCCAATGCCTAACCCGGGGACTGAAATCCCAGCAGCTCCCAATCGGTTGATAGCCCCCTGATTTAGATAATTCGAGGACTGATTATTTCTAGTCGAGAACGGACTTTGCGATTGGACTGGAGACGCGTTTCCGCTACGCGGTGGGAGTCGAGGAGGTAATGAGGGTGGCCCGCTCGGTCTGAAGTGTGAAGAGGGAGGCGGGACCGGATCTCGTTTATCCGGGCTGCCCCTTCTTACAGGCGGAGGAGGAAGATTTGCTGTTGACAATCCCGTGGTGTCGACTCTGTACGGTCTCGATTCTACTGTGGGCTCTTCTACCTGGTGTTGGTGCTGTTGCTGGACTCCGTATGTGTGTCCAGAATGTGCCGAGGACACGGGACTTTGAGATCCGGATTCAGTCGCATTTCCGCTAACTGCGGTACGTTTAGGGGGAGGACCAAAGGAGGACGGATCACGCAACGAGGTTATCGGTGTGGCGCTACGCTCGGAAGAAGAATGGGAAGACGATTTATCTCCCCGCCCAATAAGGCCTTTCTGATGGGTATGTTAGCACGCGTTAAGGAGCATATTCGAGGAGATAGATGAGGTCTTACGACTTGACCCTTGAGCGATGTTCCTTCTTTCTCGGGATGCCAACCATTCTTGACAATACCCATACCTTTATCCTTCCAACCCGACATCTCGGCTTATTCTTATTACGTATGTGGTTTATAAGTCTGCCGGTAGATAATTGTAACAGGCAATTATCATAACGTCGATATATTTAATCACACAATTCGTAATCGTATGTACAAAAAGTAGAGTTGTACGTTGTACGTTGTACGATGTACTGCTATAGCTACTAGCGGCTAGAGGGTCCAAAGTACATACACTATATGACGTATGCCCCATATGCTGAGCCACACAAGCTGAACGCCTCATCCGAATTTAAAGGGACCTCCAATTGATCTCCCCCTGCATTTCCACCCCACCACCAAACCAAATATTGACTTTCATTGACACACTTTAGGACTTTAGGCGCGTCGCGTGTCATTAATTGGCCAACTTCAATCTTTAGCACTTTCGAACGACAGCGACAAAAAAGAGGACAATGATGCCTAAAATGCGCCGACCATGACAACATCTACTAATTCCGATGCCGAGCTTTTGACAGAGCACTTCGGATACCCCCCTATTGTCAGTATTTCACCTCGGCGCATGTATAAATATCTAGTCTACCAAGTACCTATCTACATAACGATGGAAATATATATTAACCTAAGCGCCCCCAACTCTAGAGTCTCATCGACGATATAATCAACAGCGTAAACGTCCTAGCCGAGCGTGCCCTCAACAGCGTCGAGCAAGGCCTTCTAAACGCTCCCCCCGCAACCATCGGCTTCAAACCTCCCAAGCCGTCTCGCAGCCACGCCCACGATGCGCAAAAACAGCAGCAGCAGCAGCAGCAGCAAGACCCGGCCGAAGCCGCCAAGACGGAAATCGAGTCCGGCACACATCAGCTAGAAACCCTGCTGTGCGCCAGCATCGATCGCAACTTCGACAAATTCGAGATCTACGTCCTGCGCAATATCCTAACCGTCCGCCCCCCCGACGTGCGTTCCTGGATCCGGCTGTCCCACTACGACGGCCTGGATTTCTCTACTTCTTCGAGTACGAATCTAAACCCGTCGCCTACCCTCGACAGCATAAACCACCTCCGCCGCAAACTGCGCGAGAGCATGCGTCTGAACGCCCTCCTCACCGCCGAGCGCGCGCGCAACGAGAAGCTGCTCGGCGAACTACAGGATCTCGTCGGGATCGCCCCCGCGCACGTAAAAAGTGAGAAGACCTCTCCGCAGCCATCAGCATCCGCACCAGCACAGGTTAAAAACAGCCCATTCGCATTCCTGCACCGCAAAGGCTCCCTCACAGCCGGCGGGTCCGAAGCCCCCCTCAGCACGACAACCGCATTCACGCTCTCGCAGATGCAAGCTCTGCGCGCGTTGTCTACTTCCTTGCGCATAATTACTCCGGACCTAGTGCCTTCAACTTCCGCCGCCGAGGCTATGGATATTGATGTCGACGACGGGAATAAAGATAAAGAGCGCAAGAGCTGGCGGCGCGAGCGTCTCGAGTACGTCGAGGGCGCTACGAGGCGATACTTGGAGACGGTTGAGGGGCTGGAACTTGGGCGGCACGGGGAGGTGCGTGATGGAGAGTGGCAGGGTGCCGGCCGTGGGTTAGCTAGGGATGAGGTTGGAGGGTTAGAAGGGGTGATTACGCTGTTAGGGGGAGAGGAGCAAGAAGAGGAAAGGGAACAGGAAGAAAATTCCCCTAGTATAGCGCGGAGATCGGCGTCTTCGTCGAGGGACGATCGGATGGACGAGTCATGAACGATGAAGGAACTTCGCACGTTGCGTTTTTGTATACACGCCAACGACTGCTGCTACTACCGCTGCTGTTCGCGCCCAAATAAGTGCCCAAGGAAAGGAGTCTGGAGTTCTGAGATCTTAGTCGCGCAGTCTGATCGGATTTATTTTGAACGCGTCATTTTATTCATTTATAGCATGTGCCACAAAGTTTTCAGCCAAGTCTGCACGTCATGCCCCGAGATCCATGCCTAAGCCATTTACATGCAATATTTACCTATGTACACTCTACCTATACAGGCTGCTAGGCTAAGTCTCACCAATCTGGGAAGAAGCACGGGCGGCGGCGGCGGCGATGGCAGTAGCATCTTCCTCCTGGATGAGGCCGTTCGAAAAAGCCAGTTGCCAGAAGCGATGGCCCCAGAACCGGGCGCTCTCTGCTTGGTCGGAGGCGCTGTCCGACTCTTCAAACAGCCTCCTAGTATTGGTGACCATGTCGCGCGCGTCGTCGACGCGGCCGTCGCGGAGCAGCGAATGTAGCAGCTCTATCTGTGTAGGTAGGATGACAGTGGCGCCGGCGGCGCTAATCTTGTAATAATACTCGAGGGCCTTGGAGGGCTGGCCGGCTAGTGCGTAACCCTTGATGATGCGGTCGTTTAAGACATTGTCTTCCACGTTACCGTATTTAAGCACGAGGCGGCGCCGCAATAGCGAGTCGACAGCGTCTAGGTCGGGGGGGTTGCGTGAGAAGTAATATTCCACCAGCATCGTGTAGATTTGTGGCGAGAGCTCGTAGTCGTTGCCCCATAGGTGAGCTAGCACGGCCTTGATGCCATTGCTAGTCTGGTCGCCGTTCTGGAGGAGGCCATAGATTATCTTGCCGTATGTCTGTAAGTTCGGTTCCAGCCCGACCGCTTTCATGCGATCGAGCATATTTATCACCGTTCTCGTTTGTCCTTCCACGTCATCCGGATCTATCGTAGTAAACGCTCCGTTCAGCACTGCTGTAAATGTCCCTTCGTCCGCAGGAACGCCGGCGGCCTGCATCATAGTAAATACTCGCTGCACATCCTCAGTCCTTCCCTCCCGAACGAAGCGGCCTAATAGGATATTGTAGGTGAAGATATCAGGTTTGATACCTTGCCGACCCGCCCAAGCTAGGAGACTTTCGGCAGCGGGGACTTGGTTCTGACGTACTAGACCATTGAGGGCAGCATTGACAGGTTCTATAGTCGGTTCGACAGCTGTGGTATTCTCGTCTTTCGAGCTACTGTTCCACAATTTCGTCATCTCCTCTAGGGCTCTTATTCCGCCCTCGAAATCACCACATTCGATGAGCCCGGCTATACGAGTGGTCCATAGCTTCGTATCCAGCTTCATTCCTGACCCCGCAAGCTTTGCCCACACATTCTTGATGCCGTTGAGGTTGCGAGCCTTCTTACAACCGTCGAGCATGCTGTTCCACGTCTTCATCGTCGGTCTAAGCCCGACTTTGCGCAGAGTATTTAACGCGGCGATGGCATGATCGGGCTGGTTCAAGGCCATCCGAGCATGAATGAAAAAGTCGAAAAGGTCGGGGAACGTTCGAAGCTCGGCAGCCTTCTCCAAAGAAATATCTTTCTCGGACCCTGCAAAACTTTGCCAAGTCTTGTCTAGCTCGCTAGTGTTCCGGGTTAAGTATGCATGGTTGAGATTAGTTTTCGTGTAAGCCAGATTGATTCTGCCGTGACTGGCCGAATATGAGGGTTTATTGAATTCTGCGTTTGCAGCAGACGTCGCCATCGATTCGATTCTGTCTTTTAGCTGCGCCTTGATGTCGGGCCACCGCGCCATAACATAATCTCCAATGACCGGGGAGGTGCTTGAGAGTTTCTGCAAGGCCTCATCTTGGAAATTCACAAAAGAGATGAGATAGGCTATTTTAGAGACAAAACGAGCAGCGCTCTGTCTCACACTAAGATTGCTTCGTTGGACGTCGAGCAACAAAGCATATGTGGCAATGGCTAAGATAGCCACGGGAGCACCGAGATAGTGTGGAGAATATTGTGGGAAAATACTACTCAAAGCCGCAGGGAAGTTTCCCCGACCTGAAAACTTATTCAGAGAGAACCTATCGATTCTCGGGAACCAGAACCCATCCGTCAGTTCATCATTAGGCGCCATAGGTGTAGTTTTGGGTAGAGAGAGAACTTTCCAGGATTCGACAAGATCCGCGAGCATGGCATCGCGGGTGGCAAGTCCACCTTCGACTATGGCAGGATCATGCTCCTCGGCGGAGGGATCTATCTCTATGATTTTCTGGACCAATTCTCCTACGAGTGCAGCCCATCGCGGAGGGTTCATGTCGCCAATATCTGTGTAAACTCGAAAGATGTCGGCAACCGTTGGTAGCTCAAGTGAACGCATCGACTTCTTCTTCGCAGCAACAACTTTTTCCATCATCCTCGACACTACCTTATAGAAAATATTAGGTGTGGTTACGCCTGGTTCTTGAAGTAACGGGTATATCTCTGATTTGAGGTAGGCATATGCGTCTGCCTCGGACTCGTCCTTTTCTACCATGAGCTCTAGCTTCCTTATGGCCTGGACGAGAGCCAAGTCCATATTGGGATCCATATTGGGATTTGTTTGTTTTGCCCTAGCTGGCGCATCTTTGTCTGCAGTTTGCTTGTGGACGATCTGTTGGAACAAGGCGTCTACCCGAGCTGAGTCGCCAGCTGAGACCTTTCTGGATTTGTTCTGAATCAATTTTATGTTGGAAGTGCTCATGTGGTCATTTTGCACTACTCTCCGAGTTTTGCCCAGTCCTGACGTGTCGACTGCCACCTCTGAGGGGAGAGGCGCATTGGAGGTTGGAGTCGTTGAAGCGATCGTGGGGTCGTCGCTTCGTGAGGTGGCTGTGGTCGAAAATCGCGATGCGTGGGTTTGCCATTTCCCTGCTCTTGAGCCTGCGCCATGGGAATTTGCTGCTAAGCGGCGACACAGCAGGCAGGTAGATCTGGAGCCCTTCATAACATGTGGAGGACGAGGTAGGTATCGTGAGATGGCAGAAGGCAGAATCTTTATAAACAGCCCGGAGTTGTTAGCGACAAGTAGTGAAGAAAACGACGGATAACGATGTCTTATCGATGGAACAATTGCTGCTCCGGATTGGATCGGAGGTTGATAGGGTCTCAATGCCGACTTAGAGCTTGAGCTAGGTACCCGGGCTAGGTACCTACCCGTTACCCCACTACCGTTCAGGTAATAACTTGTCAAGCTCGTCAAGGCAAGTTACAGCTCGCAAAGGTTCCTAAGGAGCAAGCAACAAATGCATAATGAAGGAAGTTTAGAATTCGCTACTTCTAAAATAATAATTTACGTATACTAAAGTCGTATTCGTTTCCGTCGTTATATAATTCCCGCTTTTGCTTCCATTCAAGTTGGACTTATTCCCCAGCCGAGTAAAACTTCGGCTCGTTCAAATCCCTTCCCTATTACTTTGGTCTTCTATAATGACATCCCTAATCCCCAGACCTCCGTACACAGAAGATGAGCTCAGGGCGCTATACCCAGAGAATCTACAGCTGCAGCTAGTCCAGGTCCTCCTCCGTCATGGCGAGCGTTCTCCCGTGTCCGTTCGTTTTCAGAATACCGGCCTCCCCGCTTTCTGGCCCTACTGCAGCGCCGTCCGCCAGCTCAAGTCCGCAGTTCTCGACCGTCACACCGGCCAGTTCTCCACTTTCGAGTGGAAGCGCCGTCTCGAAGCATTCGGCCCCAATGACGAACCCGTACTTGCCCATGGCCCCGCCGGTGAACTTGACGGCGTGTGCGAGATGGGTATGTTGACCGACCGCGGCCGCGAGACCACCTTCGACCTTGGTACTCGTCTGCGTACTCTCTACGTCGACCAGTTACGCTTCCTGCCTCCGGTCTTGCTCAACGCCGATAGCTTATACCTGCGCGCAACGCCGATCCCGAGAGCGTTGGACTCTGTTCAGGAGACGTTTACGGGTTTATATCCGTCTCATACGCGAGCCCCTAAGTTCCCGCCCCCAGCCATCCTAACACGCGCCCAGGGCGACGAGACCTTATTCCCCAACGACAGCAACTGTAGACGTTTCGCAGCGCTATCGCGGGCTTTTGCCCAACGTACCGCCGAGCGCTGGAACGACACGGAAGAAATGGCGTATCTGAACAAGTTGTACGGAAAATGGATGCCGGAGGACTCGCCGCGTGTGGCTGTAGACGGTCGGCCGCGTCTAAGTGGTATCATGGACACGATCAACTCGACGCTAGCGCATGGACCGGAGACGCGGTTGCCTAAGGAATTCTACGATCCAAAGGGGCGCGAGATCATCGAGAAAATTGGCGTGGAGGAGTGGTTCGCGGGGTATAAGGAGAGTCAAGAGTACCGGGCACTAGGAATTGGAAGTTTGCTGGGCGACGTCGTAAGCCGCATGGTAGGCAGCGCCGAGCGCTCGACTGCCGACGGAGAGTACGAGGTAGCACAGAAGCTAGAGAGCGGCCCCGTAACAGAAGGTAAGGGCGCCACGTCCATCCGGTTCGGGCTGAGCGGGTGTCACGATACGACGCTCGCGGGTGTGTTAGCTAGTTTGGGAGCGTACGAGAGCGGCAAGTGGCCCCCTTACACGAGCCACATCGCCATCGAGATGTTCCGGAAAGCAGACCCCGCCCGTTCCGACTCAGCAAGCCCGTATCAGCAGGGTGCGGTGACGGTACCCCCGGCAGAAACTGGTCCCGCCCAGGCCAGCAAGTCCGGCTGGTTCGGCTCACTATTCTCGTCGGCCCGCGCGAAGCCCGGCAGTCCACCGCCGGGCATGGGCCGCAAGAAGAGCGAGGAGTTATCGACCGAGGAGAGGGCGAAGCTGGAGGAATACTATGTGCGGATACGGTATAATGACGAAGTTGTCACGGTGCCGGGCTGTAGAGCCCCGGGCAAGCACCTCGAGGGTGACGAGAGCTTCTGCACGCTAGTGAGTTTCCCGCGTTTGCCTGCTCGCACCGATAGATTTATTCTACGCCATTAAAACATGAGCAAAAGCTGCCTCTGAGCTAATGACCGAATAGACCGCATTCAAAGCCGTCGTCGACAAATTCGTCCCACGCAATTGGAAGCAGCAGTGTAGGACTAACATCCGAGGTCCTGCGTTCCCAGAAAAGCCCGAGCCGGCCGGTTATTAATGAGGCATGAACATATGACTGAAAACGAGATATAGGCGTTTTGTGACTGCAGCTCGGCTCAGCTTGCGCATGTGTACATAAGCTATTGCATGATAGCAAATACTCGGAAATATCAGCATCAGGAATCAAGGCGCTACATGGTTAAGCATTAGGCTGAAAATAATACACTCAGTTATAGAGATTGCAAGCTCAGAGCCCCAGGCCGCATCCCCACTCTACCCACAGAACACCAGGTTGAAGTGTTCATAAGAGGTAAGAGGTAAGTAACAAAGATTACCCTTGAACATTCGCATAACAGATCACAAAATAAAACCGAGAGCTTTTCAATTGTCATATTAATACCCTCCTATCATATTTTAAGACAGATGTTATGCAATGACAGCAGAGATATAGCAAGAGATACTGAAATACTACCAATAACCTCTCGACAATCAGGACCACTGTCGGCCACATCCCTTTCTATTCCCATCTATCCTCATACCACTCTTATCGCTCAAAATTCCTGTCGAACCTGCCTCAGATCTCATTTTCAGGGACGAAGCTTTCTCCTCCTAACGCACGTCCAACTACCCAAATTAAGGCCTTGGACATCATCATATTCTTTCGGGGGCGCAATGTCGGTTAACAGCCTTTTTTCTCGTGAGGTCGAACGACCGGGAAAGCTCAAGGGGTTTTACAAAGATCATACAAGAAATGCCAACAGTAGCCGTTGAAAGTTGAATAGAGAACGCCGAAGAAAATCAACGCAACGATTATAACATATTATCTTTCCCTGGTAGTCGCCTTTGGAACGGCGTGTCAAATCAGTTGGCAACCTCCTCTTCGACCCAGCCATTCAGGCCACCCTGAATAGCGAGGCCAAGGCCAGAGCCCATGCCGCCGAAGCTTGCCTGATATTGGTGCCCTCGGCGCTCCCCCTCGCTTGGGCCACCGATGGCGCTAACAGGACTGTTCCCTCCGTTCTCGAACCCAGGGGCAAAAACAGGTAGGCTCACAGCACGGTTGTGCTGTGCACGAGCATTAACGGGAGCAAGGAGGCCACCAATTGTCGGCGCGCCCGAGCCGTTGTTCGCATATCCGTTCGAGATGCTCGCCGACTGTCCGTGACCAGAGCCGGAGGCGGACTGGGGAATATCCAACGATAGCTCGTTGGGCGAGGACGCAGCAGTTCCGAACAAGGCTGCCTGCTGGGAAGCTAGCATCTGGTGTTGTTGCTGCTGGTGCTGTTGGGCCTGCTGTGACACTTGGTTCAAGTACAGGGTGAGCGGATTGTTGCCATTAGCAAACATGCTGACGTTGTTGGCAGACTGGGGCGAAGTCGGGTTGGTCGGAGAGTTGCTGCTTCCGCTGCCAACCGGCGGGGGCGAGGCCACACCCTCTCCGCGAGGGGACTGGGATTGTTGCTGAAGCTGTCGGGGCTGGTTTCCGCAACGATCTTTTCCAAAGTTCACCTTAAACTTCCTGTATTCTTCCTTGCTTCGAACGGCCTCGATAGCCTTGATGGCATTTGCAATGTTCGTAAAGTTGACAAAAGCACAGCTCTTCTCACGCAGGGCGTTGACCAACTCAATCTCACCATATTCAGAGAAATCCTGTCTCAATCTTTCTTCAGTCCAAGTCTCGTCCAAGTTGCCAATATAGACATTGCGAGAGGCACCGCCGCTGACGGCCAATGCAATGGCTGGCGGAAGAGCACCGGAGTGCTTTCCCCAACCGATCTTCAGACGACGGTTGTGAATCATCAAACCCTGAAGATTGCTTAGAGCATAGAAAGAAGCAGCCGCGGTCGGATCGATGAAAGTAACGAAGCAAATGTGCTTATCGGGAATGTATCGAATATGATGAAGCAAGCCACCTCGCACGACGTTGCAGATCTCCTCAATCGTAGTCTCCGGGTGAATGTTACCCAGATAGATTGTTCGGTTGCCAAGATTGTTTATACCACCAGCCGTAGTCGCAACTGCTGCGGCCGCCACAGACTGCTGAGCAAGAGCACTAGAAATAACCTCGCGGTCTTGGCCGGTCAACATGTGGGCATATCCAGGCGCGATGCCAAGGTACTGAGCCGCATTCTGCTGCTGCGTCTTTGAAACATAGGCACATCGATCTTTGCCGTAGTAAACGCGGCGAGGCGATTGCCACTTGGGTTCTTGGGGCAGCTGTTGCACAGCCTTCATAGCATTGGCAATAGACAAGAAGTGGATGAAAGCAATGTTCTTCTCCCGGACAATCTTGATAGTGTCGATAGCCCCAAACTTGCCGAGGTCTTCACGCAGCTCTTCTTCGGGGACATCCTCTGGGAGGTTTCCAAGGTAGACGTTTCGAGAAGCGCCGGATTGCTGGACGGCCAACGCGACAGAGGTGGGCACCTGGGACGGCTTACCCCAGCCAATCTTTATATCCTGTCCCTTGATGCAGAGCTTCTTCAAGATGGCATCGGAGTGGAAATGGGTCGCAGCATTGGCGTCGAGGAAAGAAATGAACGCGCAGTTCTTGTCGGGAAGCAGTCGAACGGATTCGATCTGCCCGCTCCTCACATGACCGAGAATCTCCTCGGCAGAAGTATCTGGGGGAATATTGCCGAGATATACAGTCCTGCTGGTACCCGTGACAATGCCGGGACTTAGGGTTGGCGACTGAGGCTGCATTTGGCCATTCATGTTGAAAGAACCATTAGGAGACTGCGGCTGAAAGAACTGAGGAGCGCCGTATGTGGAAGGGGACACCATCGACTGGTAAGCTTGAGGAGACAGGCTCTGCTGAACGGGGCTCGCCATGTTATGCTGCTGCTGACCGTTATGCTGTTGACCATGCTGAAATGCGGACATGTTCTGGAACTGAGGACTGGCAAAAGCAGCAGGGGTTCCGGGCTGGAATGGGCTACCGAGGAGCAGCTGGGACGGGAGAAGTGGAGTAAACTGCATATCGAAACCAGTGCCAGGTGTAGTCATATCGGGAACGTTGTTGGGGACAGGCGGGTTCAGTTGGTTCTGGGTATTGATCGAAGGGATGTTGCCGCGGCGGGGATGTCTGTCGGCAAATCCAGAGATATTAGATGTGAAAGCGCCATGAGAAAAACCGGTATCGCTGTTTGAAGGCTTAGACACATGGCCAAATCGGCCTGGGTTGCCGGCAGGGCCGGTGGGGACGCCACCGTTGATTGAAAGGTCCTGCATCCCGAGAAGATGAGGAGGGACAAGGCTGTCCCGCGAGACGTGCGATAAAACCGCCGTTTTGAAAGATTAGACGTGCCCGAAAATAGGCACGAGGGCAGAAGGCAGAAATAGGACCCTGAACGTCGCTAGGATCCTAGTATAACAAGCAATATTGGATATTATAACAGCTATTGGCCAAAGAGTAAACGGAACAACTTCGAGTTTGTCCAAACAACAGTTTAGCTGAAAATATAATGGGTATCTCTAATCGAATAAAGAGGTATCACCGAGGAAGATGGATATAAACTATATGCAACGGTTCGGTGGTTTCTCGCCAAGATGACGCGCAATAATCGAATCGGCCAAGGTGAAAATATCTCGTAGAGTGCGGTAACGTAAATGTTGTCCGGTATCACCTAGAGCTGGCCAGGATGGAAAAGGCAAGACAAGAATAGGTTGCCTCGGCGAATAGGAGTCGGTGCAGCTTATAATGTCCTTTGATCTGTGTCGATAGTCCGACTACGTCGAACAAAGACGAGACGAATATTATTCCTCCAAAGCGAGCGAACTGCGACTTGCTAGAAAAGAGCGTCGAGAAGTTACAGCGACGACAATGCTTTCGTCGTCGAGTCCTTTAAAAGGGTTCGCCGGTAGATTCGCTACGGGCTGGCTGGCGCAGACAGACTGAATTTGGCGAGAGCTGTCGCTTGGGCGAAAAAAAGGGATAGAAATCTTGGCGCGCGGAAGTTTATAAAGAATATTAAGAAAGTATAGCGAATGAGCGTAGGTAAATAAAAGCCGGGGAAAGATCCAATGGCTCTAAAAAAACGAGGAGACGGCAAAGAAGGATTGGATAGGTAAGATACAATAGGAGGTAGAATAAGGATGAGGAAGAGGAGTAGAGCGTAAGGGTAGGGGGGAGAAAGAGAGAGACTTGAGCTACTCCGTATGAAGGAGAGGAAGAGGACTGGAGGGAGGAAGGTGAGAAGGAGACGAGCAGAAAAATGGAGGAAAATAATTGGACGGCTTCGGTTGGTGCAGATTGCCAAAATGTCTAAAAATGGGGGGCGCTAGTTTTAATAAAATAGCCTGCATCTGCTAAACCCATTTTGAACATCTTCCTTCCACCTGGGCATCCACTTCTTTTTTTCTTAGGCCTGTCCCAAGTGTCGTGTACCCTTTTTTATTTTATTTTTTGAGTTACCCATTTCTTACCACATGGTACCAGGTATGTAGGTATTTTAGAACTAGCCTAAGAAATGTACTTGAGATACTGTACGAAGTCGAAGCTGTTTCCGTGTACCCCTTAAGTGGTCCCTTAGATGGTCCCTTTGGGTAACTGTCCCCCCCCCAGGAACAGGGGGACTTTAGCTGACGCTAAATACATCAAGTTAAGATGAAAAGTACCATCTCAATATAGATAGGTATGCGACGGTACTCTGACGAGTAACATTCGGCGTCTTGGTCTCTTAAAAGTCAACCCCATCCCTCACGCGACCTTGCCCGTAGTTTCAGATGAAGGACAGACAGGCTATTTCCGAACGCGTTTTAAGTAATACTTCGTATGCGTATTTCCATATATGCATATACCTACGGTCAATGGGGGGGAATAAGTAGTGCAAGAGAGAAATTGATATTCGACTCGCAGTTAAAAAAGAATTTCCAACGGCTGACTACTTAAATTTCAGCCTCATTTTCGACGTTTCAACTCAATAGCTTTCGTGAGTTTGAGATATGGGATATTCGATCCGCCAAGACTCGGCAACCCATTGACTTGTCCCACGGACATCTCCCGATGCCTAAAATTGCTTCCGGTGACTAGAGACAGCAGCATAAGATTAGAACCGGTTCATATCTCAATATCTTAATATTCAATGTCTCGGATAACTTCTTGGTCAAGGGGCGTTCGAATATGCATATATGAGGGTTGGGAAGTGCCGTCGTCTATGTACATACGCACTCCAAGAGCCCCGTGGCCAGCGTAGCGGGTTAGACTCATGCCAAGAGACATGGGGTCTACAGGGTCTAGACACGAGTTACAGCTCGTCGAAAACATCATGCAGATGGGATCAGGGGATATAGACCCTGCGATAGCAATGCGCGCGAATTCATCATGTACATACATAGCCAGGCTTTACGTCTTGCCGTTATGTAGAAACGAAACGATACGCACTCGCCTCGCACTCGTCAATCCTTTCGATGCATCTGCAAGCCGGCTTCTATCTATGTAATGAGAGCTTCCATCTAACGAGACACGAATGCGGTACGAGAGGCGATCAATTTCCCATCCATGGTTCAGACATGTCTAGCGGGTCCGGACCACGAACGGTCATCTCGATTTGGGATCCCCTACGCCTAGAACCGGACAGCCCAAACCCAAGCCCTAGGTTCTAGCCTTATCAATCCCTTCAGGTCTCGTCAGTATCGCAAGTTGTCGTTCGTCAATGGTGTCGAGACTAACGTGACCTCGAGACAATACGTACAATAACATAGGTATTCTCCGCGCGTTAAGGTGTTAGTTAAAGCGCACTTCAGCTGTGCGCCCATGCGACATGAAACTCTGATATCTCGTCGTATCGTCGTTGAACCCTCCCCCCGCATAACCTCCTGCAATGTTTGGCGGCTTCTGACTGCAGAGACGTTGTGCCTTGCATGTCAGCCATGCCATGCTCTCTTATGTCTCCCTGGGTATAAGTCGCATATCCGTGAAATCTCTCTAAGCCACCCGCATCGAAACTCCCATGTGCATAATTTATGTACATACATAGTACGGTAGGCAATAGGCAATATATTTACACATTTGATTTATATCGACCTTGTTCATCCCCTTTCCTCCTTTTTCTCTGTTTCTTCAATTTCGACTTCCGCTTACTTGCCCACTGCTCACTGCTGCGTATGTACGTGCCAGGTAGGTCTATAGACGAAAACAGGTACATATGTACACCACTCAAAATGCAGCCAAGGAAAACCCCCTATTTCCCAGGAAAAATCCCCGATTGAAAAATAAGACCAAGCACCTGCAACCTCTCACCCTGCCCCACCCGAAGAGGCGGTCTCTGCGGTCGCTGCTACGGCGCTACGGCAAGGTACCCGAGGTGCGCAATATATTAGCGCGGAATGCAGTACGACCGCGCATAGATACGCTTTTCCTGTAGGTACAAACTTACCCAAAGTCGCACCCTACATACATGTACGTTGAATCTGGAGGACTGTGCCTTTGCGCCTGTGTTAGGTACAAATTTGCAGAAATGCTGTAATCTAAAATGTACATGTCACAAACACGGAAATATGTCGCTAAAGTGGTTTGTTAATAAATCTTATTTCTTATTATGCACATTGATCTGTACACTAGAAGATGAGATACTTAAAATAGTTAGTACTGAGTGATATACCGTACCTGTTCTAAAATCGTGGAGCAAGCCAACTTGTCCTACATACCGCCAGTTGTGCTCATCACAGTGATACATATGTGTAGCTTGTAAAAGTTAAAGGTGCTTCATTATGCTCGCGTCATTTCCATCCCTCGTATGCCGAGGTTCGCATTACCTGTAGATTTACTCTTCCTAGCCCAACGGACAAAAGACCAAATACAAATATACGCATAACCCCATCAAGTATTCATACATATCCATCTCATTTCGGTCCACGTACTAAGAAACATTGCTATAACTTATCTCACCAAGGCCGAATCTTCAGCCTGGACTCTGGAAAAACGTTTACGGTCTCCGGGACTGGTATCATGGACAGCCGGCCTATTCTCGGCTATGAGGGCTACGAAGGAACGGCTCAGACGTCCGGTTATGGTTTATTACGAGCGGCGTCAAGGCTTGGGAGCATGAAAAGATCGTCTCGATTTCAAAGCTAGTGAATGATCAACTTATGGCTTAGCTAGGAGAGTCGGTCACCACATGTCATCCTCACTCGGAGAAATGCCAACAAGACTCGAATATTAATTGTCGCCGACGTGTCCTTCAAAGGAACGGTCTATTCACGGAATAACGGAATGGCTAATCTCGGAAAGCATCATCAGGTTGCTCATAAGCTTGACCGCTTGACCGCTTTCCCCAAGCCCAATTATATCCTGCTTTGGATCCGCCAGATCTGTCGTCGCATGCTTCCCGCAAGTCCCAGCGGCAAACCTCGTGCAGAGACCCAGCATCTAAGAAGAAACACTTGTCATCACCGCTCAAGGTTTGCATCGTCCCATAAAGCGGGGGTATAGACAAGCCGTGCGGACGGTATGCTGGTTAGCAATCCAAGCTAGGAATCGTTCAAGGCCGAGACCATATCCACCGTGGGGAGAAGTGCCGTACCTATGCTAACAGTTAGCTTCAAATCGGGATGACGAATCCGAAGAAGAGGGGACTCACTTGCGCTGGTCAGTGTACCAGTAGTAGTCTTTGGCGTCGATGCCCTGTTTCTTGTACGCCTCGAGCAGCTCCTCGTATCCTTCCATCCTCATACTACCGCCAACGATCTCGCCGACGCCTGGCATCAAACAATCTACACTCTCGGTTACTCGTAGGTCTGATGGATCCTTCTTCATGTAGAAGGCCTTGATTTCCACGGGGAAATGTGTCAGGAAGATGGGCCGGTTGATGATGTCTGTCATCCTACGTTCGGCAGCTTCCGCGATATCATCTCCGAAAACGTGGGGGTTACCCTCCTCGTTCGGGATGGGGGGATCTTGCGCGTTGAGCCAGTCGATGGCGTCTGTATACTTCATGCGCAAGAAAGGTCGAGCAGGTTTTTCGAAGGTGGGGTTGAGTTCTTTCAGGTGAGCGGCGATGATTGGGTTAGCAAGGACAATATCGATGACTCTGCAGATGACTTCTTCAAGGTGATCTAGCAGCTCGTTGAAGTTGATATAATCCAATTCGGCTTCGACATGCGTGTACTCGGAAAGATGACGGCGTGTCAAGCTCTTCTCGGCACGGAATGATTTCTCGATGCAGTAAACATCTCCAAGACTTGGGATAACGGTCTCGAGGTAGAGTTGAGACGACTGAGTCAGATAGGCCATTTCGTCGTAGTAGGGTGCGCTGAAGAGAGTCGCGCCACCTTCGACCTGAGTTTGCACCAGGGCAGGGGGCGAGACCTTAGTGAGGTCTAGTTCCTCGTAGACCTTGGTGAAAGCGCCCTCTACTGCTGCTCGGATCTTCATGATCGCAGAGGCATTCTCGCCTCGGAGGACCAGGTGTCGGTTATCGAGCATCTGGGCATCCCATTGGTTCTGCTGGGACGAGACCTTGTTGGTGATGGCATCTTCGTCGCTTGGTGACGCGCCCAGAACCTCGTAGTAATCCACGTGCAACTCTCTGTCGTCGGGGGCCGTCTGTCCGGCAAGGACCTTGCGCATCTCACCATACAGGGCAAGCGAGGTGCCCTGAGCGAAAGTTAGAGCATCGTAGGTCTTGGTAAGGTCGCCGGCAGTCAATATGCATTGTAACTGTCCATATCCGTCGATCAAGGTAATGAAAGTGGCCTGCTTTTGTACTCGTAGGCGGTGGATTCTTCCAAAGACCTTGACTCGTGTGCCCTTCTTATCGCCCTCTCCAAGCTCGATGTCTTTACGGCTAATCTTAATCCTGATAGGTTTAGGTAGCGACTCGTCCTGCTTGAGCACGATCTTCTTAGCAGCCTCGAGGTTCTGTAGCCTCTGCTTCTTGGTTTCGGCCTCAGCAGCAGCAGCCTGCTGCTGCTTCTGAACTTTCTTCTTGTGGGCGTCGAGGGCTCCCTGGGCTTTCTTGACGGCGCTCTTGGCGGGCTCTTTCCATAAGAGCCTTACGGAAGGGTCTTCGTCAGGTCCGACGGGACCAGTTTCGGAGGCTCGAGTCTGGTACTGGGGTGTAGGCTTCTCGAAGTTCTGAATATAGGCGTAAGCTAACGACTTGTACGGCTTCTGCTCAGAGCCATCCGCAGTCTCGTCGTCCTTGCCTGCGTCAGCGTCGACGTAGCACTTTTCGTCGTTCTTGACCCTCTGGGCCAGTTCTTGAACGGCAGACATGATTACGCTGTTCTAGTCGAGAGTTCCCGCCCAAATCTCGAGGGCTATGAGCTGCACGAGTGTGGCGATGTTTGCTTCCCAGATTCTGTTCGCAGGTTCGAAGGTTCGAAGGTTCGAAGGTGGTATAGATGTGAAAGCTGGACTGAATTAACCTAACCTAGTGGGTTTACGAAATGGATGGTGGGCTGTGGTGGGGTAATCAAATAAATGTAAGTGCTTAAAAAGTGTTGATAAGAAGTAGCATTTGATTTAGTTCGTTCTTTCTCTTTCATGTAGTTATCTAACCTATGTAGGTACCTAGGTTAGGTAGGTTACTTCAATTACCTAAGGTTTAGGTTTCCTTGGCCGGTATTTATTTGCTCTGCCTCTCTGTCAGAATCTATTAGTATTTTTGGTTGTTGACTCACGCATTCTCCGATAAATTTTATTGATGCCGGTTTCAGAAGTTCACCCTGTTGAAATTGAAGCTGCCTAAGATAAGCCAGCCTATGTGTAACATGAAGCACAGTTTCAAGGGTCTACCACATGCATTTCTTATCTCTCCAAGCCCTAGGATCTAGTCGTCTGTACTTCTTACTTTATTGAAAATACCCGTATTAGCCATGTACCTAGGTAAATATGACTGATCTGATCTGCGATATCGGATATGATCTCTGTAACTAACAATAAGAATCCAGATATCTATTTCGGAAGATTCATCCTGGGCAGGTAGGAATATGTTTATGAGAATAGTTTTATCAGATATATAGGTAGTCTCTAAAAAACCAGTGTTATACTCGAAATCTTTATACAACTCCGTCATATCGTCTACCGAGCCAGTCATCCCGCCGTAACATCTAGCTCAAACTCCTCGCCAAACATAGCTCTAAACCCCGTAGCTACTCCATCCTAATACCCTCATGTGTCTCTACCCACGCTCGAAACAGAGCTACTCCGTATAGATATCCCCTGACATAACACCTCGTCTACATCTATAACTCATCCCTATCAACATTCCCTTCCCCGCTCGCCCCCGTCTTCCCCATCTCCTTCAACCCCCTCTTAACCATACTACTCAGTATCTCAAAGACAACCTGCGCCGCCGCCAACGCCGTCTCCTCCCCCACCCCCTGATACGCCGGCGCAACCTCTACCACATCCGCACCTACAAGATTCAACCCCTCGATCCCCCTCAGTATCCGGATCAGTTCCCGCGTAGTCCACCCTCCCGGCTCCGGCGTTCCCGTCCCCGGCGCAAACGCCGGATCTAACACGTCGATATCAACCGATAAGTAAACCGGGTCCTCGGTCCCCAGCGTCCCCATGATACTCTCTACAATACCCTTCGTCCCCAGCTCATCCACGTCATCCGCGTTAATACGCACCCAGTTTTGCGCGTCGTCGTCTTCGTAGTCTTCTAAGCCGGACAGTCGTGTCCGTAACCCAGCATGCACACTTGCGGACCCCGTCCCATTCGCTATCAGTCCCTCTTCCCCAGCCAAGTAAAACATCGAGCCGTGCGTGAACCGCGACTGCTCCGAGGCCCAGTAGCTGGGGTAGTTGGCCGGGTGCCAGGTATCCAGGTGCGCGTCGAAATGGAGCACGCGCAGCGGACCGTGGGCTGCGAACGCCGCCCGCAGCGCCGGTAGGGATAGGCTGTGATCACCGCCCAGCGTGAGGAGCTTGGGGCGTGGATGTAGGGAGGGCGACGACGGGGCGCGCGCGCTGAGCTCCGCGAACGCAGCTGTCATCTGCTTTACCGCCACCGCGTTGTCTACCGGCACCACGGGAATGTCTCCGCAGTCCAGGATCCGCGCCCAGCTCGCGTAGGGGTTGATTCCGGCGCGCGGGTTGAAGCCCCGGAAGGAAGTCTGTCGTGCCGAGGCGGCGCGGATGGCGCGGGGGCCGAAGCGCGCTCCTATTTTATATTATCTACTTAGTGATACGGTTCAGGGGCGGGCGAGAATATAGGTAAACTTGGAAAGTAGGAATAGGGGACAGAAAAAAAGCGGACGGCATGATTCCTCATGAGAAAGGTGAATTTGCAATCCCGCGGATAAGTGAAGCAGACTCGGACTCAGACTCACCAGGCCGGTAGCTCACGGCAGTATCAAAAGGAGCACCGATGATGGCGATGTCGAAGAGCTCGCTCGGCGTTGTTAGACACTTGTGATATTCCAGATGAGCGAACGTGGAAATGCCCGAGAACCCCCACTGTACACGGTAAGTTGTTAATATATAATATATATGATTCGGTAGACTAGTTAAATATGCGATTTGAAAATCGTTGCTGTATTTGAGGGCCAAGGGAGGACGGCGCCCTTTTTCTTTCGTGTAGATACCGTCATATGACCATTTCCTCGACCCATCCAGCCAGAGTATATGCTGTAGTCGAAATAACGAGATGCCTTGTTGCTTACCTCGGCCCCCCATTTCCTGTCTAATTCGTCAAGTTCCTCTTGGGACCATTCTCTAACCTGATGATCATGTCCGCCGCAAGCTTGGACGAGTGCTGAGAAGCAACTTAGGGCAAGACAGACAAGTTCTTTCGATCTCATTACGTCTTGCTCCGTTTATACGGGACTTATCAACAAAAAGAATATAGATGTAAAGGCAATGCAAACGCAGGCTGTAAGGGGACACTCAGGTCTAAAAGTCGCAAAGGAAAATCCAGTATTATAATTTCTTAGTATTATAATTTCTCTAGCATCAATCTTTATCTCTAGATAAATACCACCGAGACCGAGATATATATTACTCTATAGATATTCTACTATCTCACCTTGTGCGATTCCACACCGGAGCGGAGTAGATAAGCAGCGTAGTAGCAGTAGCCTCGGCAGCGGTCCGGAACGAAGCCAGGATAGAAAAGAAGTCTTAGGGACCCATCCGCATTCCATTGGTCGTGGTGCTTTCATGCAATGCAACTCTGGAACTACTAGAACTAGTTACTAGGTAACTAGAACTACTATGCGCAAGAATCCTGGCCCCGATAGCGTTTCGTTTCTTTTTGCAGCAGCCATGGGCGTTCTGCAGCAAGCTCCATACGTCTTCGTCTTCTTCCTTGATGGACACACACAAACTTGGAGTGCATACGTATGGTGTGTAGTAGTGGCGTACGCACCTAAGTAGCTTCACCTTGTTAATAGGCGTGCGTACAACCTACAGGACGAGAAACAACAGCAGCGTAGGGACCCCACGTTTCATTTTTCGACGGCTGGGTACAATTAGTGAGGTGTCATATGCGGGTTTGAATAACATGGCGTTTTTAATCGTAGACCTCCTAGCCTATGGCGGCATGTCTTATTTCATATTATGCCTTGCCTTTTTCTCTTCTTGCAAGCCATGTCATCATCATTCCGTTGCTTAAGACAATTGGTTTTTCGTATTAGGAAGCAGATGGGGTCAATGGCCGACCCGGTGGTTTTTAATCATGTCCACTACCCGTAATGAGCTGACGATACGCAGATGAGCTTAGCTAAAAGAAATGGAAATAAAGACGAAGAAAAAAAAAAACTGCTGTTAGTAGCACTTACAGGATTCCACATACATTTAGCCGTCTCATCCTACCCCGTAAAACGCAAGATCTATCCGACTTTGAAGCTTGTTACTTACTATGCAGTTAAGACTAGAGGCTTCCATAATATTTATTTTCTTCAGCTCCGTTCCTGATCCCGCCGAGGTAATCACCCCATCAGATGGATCTAAGCTTATACGTCCAGACATATATACAGAACTACTGCTAGTCATGTACCTACTTAATATGCAGGTCTGTTAGGCGGCTGCAGTAGTGCGTACGTGAATACTTGATCTAAGAACATTGATCGAAATAAATGTGTACCTAGCTACACCGAGACAGGCTTTTCTGACGAAAAAAGAAAAAGAAAAAAGAAAAAGTAGAATTATATACCTAAAATAGAAAACAAACTTGAACCTTATATTCGATGCATGTAGCACTTATAGGGCTATGCGGCTTTTACGGGTCTGGTTCCGGCTTGCACTACGAGAATTATACCTCTCGAAACATGGCCCTCATACGTGGTCATCCTCCTACATAGTATACTTGACCGAGACGTCGAGTATGCCACGTAGGTAGTTTGTTGTGCTACGGATTTAGATGGGATATGGGAATATAATTGATAATCGGTAGAAGTCGGGTTATTATCATCCGTCGCCAATGTTTCCTTCCTCATTTGGGGTCAAGTTAGGTAGACAAACGCGATGCGAGCAAAACATGAGATTCGGTAGTCAAACCCAGGGAGAGAACCAGGGGAAAAAAAGGTTACGGGAAGAAACACTTGCAGCTGTCCGGATATAAGACATGCACGTTTAATTTAAGAGGTCATCAAAAAAGTCACAAGATGATGTTACTGGCAAGATAGACGATCAAATCAATTCAGATGCACTCCGATCGCCAAACAATCCTATCAAAGTCCTGCCTGCATTCATGAATTCCCCTCCAAACCCTGGCTGCTAGAAAGTAGTAAAAAGAGAAAACAGAATCGGGGCCAGTATGACTCGAGTTCTTGTCCAGAGGGAAAGTAGTCGGTGCCTTGCCTCTTATGTCGAGGACGGGCCCTTGTCCGCCTTGTCCGCCGTTGGTGTATCTGTCTATATTCCGGACTTCAAGAATTCTCTGGACTGTAAGAGGCTTCTCCTGCCCCGGATAGGCTAGAACTGGAACCCTATATGGGCATCTCTTAGTCTAGCTGTTCCAATGCTACCTCACTTAGGCGGTATGCTTCCGCGCGTAGTTGATTCATTCCGAATCCTATCCACTTGTGCTATCACAAGCGCACATGTCTAAAAAATCGCCTATTACGAGAAATGCAGATGTCGTGGAAAAGGTCCAAAAATGGCATATCCTTATGCCTTCCAATGCTTGTTGGAGCTTGTCGTCGCAGCCTGTAGTGATGCTGAAGGAATGAAGGAGGAAATGCCTACGGCTTGTCCAACTAAACGACATTATAGAATTAAGCACTTGTGAGGCTTCTTCTTCGGCGCCGGAGGCTCTAGTGCTGCAACGATGGCCTGGGAATAGTTAGAATCTGGGCTGCTTGTCCGAAAGAGAAACAACAAACCTCGTCGAATACGTCCTTCAGCTTATACTGAGTGAGAGCGCTACACTCTACGTACTTGACCGCACCGAGTTCCTTGGCCATTCGTTCTCCATCTTCCTTGCGCACCGGTTGCATCTTCTGCTTGGCAAGCTTCTCCCGAACACTGGGGTCATCTCTCAGATCTGTCTGGGTGCCAACGATGAGGCAGGGTACGCCAGGGCAGTGGTGATGAACCTCAGGGAACCACTTCTCTCGAACGTTCTCGAAGGAGGCAGGCGATGTGACGCTGAAGCACACTAGGAAGACGTCGGTTTGCGGGTATGATAGGGGTCGTAGACGATCATAATCTTCTTGACCGGCGGTATCGAATAATCCAAGAGTGTAAGGCTCGTCTCCTATCCTACACAGGAAGGAAAGTCAGCCGCGGTCCATGCCGACCTGAAAAGCCTACTATACAATCCAATTGACCGTTTGGCCAGTACATTTTGAGCCCATCAGGGGTCGCAGTTTGAACAGAAGCACGACTCGAAATTTCGCATTGGAACTCACATGACCGTGACTGCATAGTTGTCGAAAACCGTGGGTACATATTCCGAAGGGAACTTGTTGGTTGTGTAGCTGATGAGCAAGCAAGTCTTGCCAACGGCACCATCACCAACAACCACGCACCTACAAGTAGAGCCGAGATATTAGCAATTCGTTATTATACCATGTTGTCATGGGTTGCATATAGTATTAGACAAGAAACAAAAGTAACAACGCGTGGCATATGCCCGAGAAGCAAGGTGGAATATATGTGCATGAAACATGAAGAGTCGCACGCCATGGAGACATGTCTAAATGCAATTCGCGCCTTTCCATCATGGGAATGTATTGAAATGGGGATAATGATGAAGAAGGTTAGGAGGATAGAGAAAGAAAGAAATATTAACTAACTTGATTGTTGCAACCACCATGTTGACTTGCTAAGCTCCTTTGCAGGAGCAGGAATGATATGTTGATGTCCCTGATTAAGAGGTTGTCTTATCGCGAGCTGTCTTGAAATGTCGGCAGGTATCGGCCGGTTTTGACTCGCAGGAGAAAAAAAAAGGCGTTAGGGAAGAAAAAAAAAAAAAGAAGGCAGAGGGGTTAGTTTGAGGCTTGGAGGGGACGATGTCTCAAGTCTAAACCTCGATAGGTGCCGGCGGTGAAGGGAAAGACTTAGGAGGCTGGATGCTGGAGACTCGGCGCGAGATGCAATATCACAAAGAGAATTGTAAATGGAAATCGAAAAAGTATCGGCGGATGAGAAAGAATCGAGGACGACGGGACGGAACAGGGCAGGCAGGGACTGAGCTCAACGAGATTGGCAGGCGGCAGACCAGGTCCAATGCAGTGCAAGTGCAGGTGGGAATTTCAAGTTGGGAACTGGCTGGGGGTTGGTTTTGGTCGGCTGGTGCTGGCTGGTGCTGGCTGGTGCTGGCGCTGGTGCTCTGGTGATTTTCTATTCCCTGAGGCTTGCCCGGCTTGGGGGTGCGATTGGGGTGCGATTGGGGTGTGAAGCGGCGCGGAATTGCAGGTGGGCTTAGGGGAGTTTTTGATTTGACTTGCACTTGCACTTACACTTGCACTTGTACTCATGTTACATCAATAGTGTAGGTACCTACAGATGGAAGCACCTGAGTAGATAAAATGGTACGTACCTCCCCTTTTTGATCTTAATTTCTTAAAAATGCTCCATACAGCTTGACAGGAGCTATGGGGACATGCAGCTAAAGGATCGATTCGTCTAGGGAATCTGCTACGGATCTACATCCATCACTTTCGTATCACACCACACAGCAAGGCAAATTGGCTGGATCATAAGAACTATTCGTTGATGTATTTTACTTAGGTGTAGCTTCTGACCAATATTCCCTGCTGTGTCATTAATGGCGGATAGAAAAACGTGAATCAGATAAAGAGGATGGTGACAAAAGAAGACAGTCGTTTGTACAGTCCTTTTTTAAAATCTATTGTCTCACCATTTACAGCTGTTGCTAACACTAACAAGAAAAAATTGCAGGTATACCTTAGGTACATATGGCATCGACGAGAGCCAGGACCAGGATATGCGCAATGCTTTAGATACTTATATGCTTCAAGGGGATTCGGGAAATCAATAAGGAGCTAAGAGGGTCGATGGATATGGATATCATGTCATTATTGATATCTCCCGTATGAGGTATTGTACAAAGTCGTATCCCCCGTGTTATGTGTTATGTGTTATGTGTTATGTGTTATCGACCCCAGGCTTATTACATTATTACATACATAACCTAGGTATGAAGCATAATAATATCGTACATTTTGGGTTAGTTTGGAGCCGACTAGCTTAATTGACCAGGCGCATACTTTTTTTGCCCCGTGCCTTTTATTCATGCGTCATCAGGGTCCTTCATGACGACGTAAGGTGAAGGAAAGGATACTTGGAAAGGATACTTACAGCTGCAAAGTCACAGATAAGGCAAAGACCCTCCCACCCCTTTTCTAGAACAAATCTACGCGACAAGGGCCACAAGCCTTACATTGATAACAAACCAAAAAAGCAAACTTGGTTTCGCCTTGTCTGTGCAGGCATACAGGACTTGGACAGCCCTGCATTTGACAGCTGTGAAGCTGAGATGATTGACATTATAGTTCCAAGGTTTACATTCAATGCCTACATGTATCTACCTCCTAGGTATGTAACTTACACCTAACCTACACCTAACCTACACCTAACCTACCTATCTATCTATATTCAGGACCAATCTGCATGCAACCTGCAGTGATACACGACGAACCAGCAGTTAATAGACGCAAGGCGGAATAATTCGTTGACGCGACTATACCTGCAATATATACTCGGAGCGAGACTTGCATCTCCGATACATGAACATTCACCTGGCCGGGTCTCTTCGCAAAATTGATCTAGTTGCTCTGTCCCAAGTTAAGTGCACGCGCGTTCGGAGTACGGCAAGAAAAAGAAAGAGGATGCATTAGGTACATTCCTGTGTAATCAAGGTAATTGAATATAGTGCCCGCGGCGAAGCAGTCGATCAGGGAGTTTAGGGTAGGGTAGGGTAGGGTAGGGTATCTGCAGTTACAGTTGCAACGTATAATTCTCACATCTAGATCATACGAAGGCCTCTTCGTACGCGCCCCGGACGAGGACACCTGTACTACGTGGCAGTAGTGCAAGGCAACGGCCAGACGATCTTGATCTTGTAATTGGTGTTGTAAAAGAAGCCTGTCAATCACGACACATACGTTTGGATGCACAAGAGATAGATGTGTACGACCTTCATGGTCTTTCGAGAGGTCTTTCGAGAGGTCTCCCTGTGACGCCTCGTTTGCTCTTAGGATTTGTCGCGGCACTTGCGACTTCGAAGGTCGCGGTTATGGTAACTGAGTAGCCGAGTAGCTAAATAGCTGTCTCCGTATCTTCCTTATCTTCCTCGGGATCGACTGGATGACGGCATGGGAATTGTGGAGGGAAGAAAAGCAAACAAAGCTGTCAAGGTAGTCTAAACAACCCTGCTTTCAAATTCAAGCGTCAATATTCATGGGGCTTTGGATATTGGTTCGAATCCTGATCCTGATCCTTCATAGTCGAAATTGGAAACAACCGTCTCTCACGTCTTATCCTTAGGCCAGTTGGGTCCTCCGATAGGGCTCACAATGAACAGTGTGTTCTGCAGATAAGAATGAGGCCAAGACAGTTTGCATATGCCAGTTGTAAGAGCCATATAAAAATTACCTGGCTGCCTGGTACGATTTCTATTCGCTATATTGGCGAGCAGTTTAATTCCACTGCGAGTCAAACAAATAAAAACAGCCCATTAGCTAAGTACATACCTGGATACATGTACAATAGGTACCTATAGGTCCTATCACCCCCGGGCCCTACCTAAACAGCCAACCTACTCAAGCCACATTTTAGCTAATAAGTGTGGCGTCGTTGACTTGCTCAACTTTACCCTAAGTTCAACTTCACTATCTTAACCTTGAAGTCCACCAACATTACCCCTTTTTGAAGCCTGCAATATCTCACCTCTAAGAAGGTCAAATGACAGCTCCCTTTTCCACCATGGAGGTCGACCGCATTGACAACCTCCTAGAGCGCTATCTTCACCTCCTCCACCAATACACGACGCTTAGAGAGCAGCTCAGCAGCCTGCAAACAGGCATATATCAAAACATTGCACGTGCTAACTTTGCCGCCGAGCGAGGAATGCGGTTTGGCCAAGACTACTACGACGAGCGCATGCAGGCCTCTAGAAAAGTGGCTATCACTCTAGGCGGCGACCAGGATGTCCCCGCGTTTGCCGTTACTGCCGGGAGTACGGAAGCTGGGCTTGCCCAATCGGAAAAGGGAGCTGCTACGGATAACGGCGCTAGGGACGCGAGTAAAGAAAAGGAGGAGGAAGAGGCTCGAGAGTCGCAGAAGGAGCAGCGGAAAGACCCGTTGAGATGGTTCGGACTGCTGACGCCTATGTCTCTACGGCAAGCGCAAGCGCAAAGCATCCAGGCAATCGAGCAAGTCATCCCCAAACTAGTCTCCGTCGATGCTCAGATGGCCCAGGTCGAAATTGAAGTCCGTAGAGCCCGGAAGAAGCGCGCTAAGGCCCAGGCGGCGGCTGTCAAACAGGAGCAGGAAGTTGGCGCCGGCGCCGGCGCGGAGATTACGGTGTGATCTCGGTATCGAAGCACGATAGGAGGCGGCTTACGTATAAAACTTACGACCTAGCAGCACACAACCCCTCGCGCACGTGTCCGTGGCAAGTTTCTTTATGATAGCTCAGCCATGGATGGATGCATGTGGTCAAATACAAGTCAAAGAAGTTACAAATTAGATCTATTATTTCAGCAACAAAGGGAGACGCACAAGCGGAATAAAGCCTTGTAACATGTGAGCCGAGGAGGGGCTCCGGAAGAGGAATTAGTTCTATACATATGTCGTGTCTACAAGTTAACCTAGGTTTAATACAGTATCTACCCACATGTCCACCAAAGCCTAGGCCAATGATAGATGCCTCCAAAAGAGAAAGAAATAGAAGTACACTCGATATTGGTACAGGACTCATCCCGGGTATCCAAACAGAACAGCTACAACAACGATATCTACGTGGGTATCATATCGCAGGTTTTATACGTATTCAAGCATAGGCAGCCCATCCTGCACAATATCTCGTTAGAATATGCAAAGTCGCTAGAAGGGGATAGGATTTGGACTTACCAGAATACAAAAACGCCAAGTTCCGCTCGTCGGTAGCTTGGTTGATCAAATCGTTGACGGTGGCCGTCACGCTCAGCGTCTTGCTCAGCTTCTTGCGCACGACCTCGAGCGCGCGATCTGCCTCGCTGGGCTCGTTGACGACGCCAACGGTGCCGGCCGCCTTTTTCTTCTTGGAGTCGATATCGGCGTCGGCGCCGTCGACCTCCTCGTCGCGCCGTGTGTCCTGCAGCTTGGCCATGCGAACCGGACTGATGGACCACGAGTAAAGGGGATCGTAGCGCAGCACATCGAGGATCGTCATGATGGAGTAGGTCTCCTCGCGCAGCGCGTCCAGTGTGAACTCGCAACACCGTCGGAACACACCTTCCGTCTTCGTAATGCCCATGCCGTCGACGATGTCGCGCGTTAGCCGGAACGGCACGAGTTCGGGGACGGGAAGTACACGACCCATTTCGAAAGCCACGCCTAGGTCTATGTGCACCACCTCGCCGGTTTTGGAGTCGAGAAGGATGTTGTGGCCGTGGCGATCGCCAAGGCCGAGAATGTGGCCTAGGATGGAAATTGCTGCTGTGGTTCGGGTATACGCCGTGCGTTTGGCGAACCATTCGTCCGGATCGACGAAGTGCTCCATGAAGAAGTAGCGCATTACAGGCTGGAACCGATCGGTGATCTTCTTGTACGTTGCTACACGTGCATCGGCTGATTTGTTTTGGACTTGGGAAATCTCCTTGCGGCACTGCGAACCTTTGAGGTCCTTCGGATGGTACCGCTCGTGAGCCGGCATTAGGTATTCGTGGAGTGGTATGGTGTTCGAGACGAATTCGATAAGTCCGGAAGCAGCTGTTAGCGGCAAGACTTTGTACGTCCTGATTCCGAGGCTACGTTGCTGGGTAGATCGATGATCTTTCAAGACGGACGACACGGCGGCGAAGACCTGCTCCATGATCGCGTCCTGGCGAAGATCATCGTTGCCGCCTTTTACGAGCTGCTTAAAACGTTCTCCGTTAGTGCCCACCACCGTAATGATCTTCGGCGCGCTGACACCGGAAGCGATAGACATGTTCGGTTCGATCTTGGAGATATACGGGATATGACTATAGTCTCGGCTGGCTGAGAGTTCTATTTGCATCGTAGGAGGTGGTATTTTCCATTTCGCTAGAGCGGTTGCAAGGCCGGAACCTCCAGTAGAGTCCTTGACGGGGACCTTTTGACCTGCCTTGTAGCGCGAAGGGTCCCGTTCCACTGCCAACATATGGTATGCTTTGCTCGTTTTGTCGATGGCGGCCCATATCGTTGACACCGACTCGGTTTGGGCAAGTCTCTTGCCAACCCTGTCTGTAGCTTTCTGGCGTAATATGGCCACGTCGTCTTTTGTATTCGTGCGGGACTTCACCCCCGACCATATTTGATACATCCCGTGGTAAGGGTGGTCGACGCAGATGCGATATATGAGCTCAGAAAGCAGGCTTTGAAATGTGCTCTTTTGGTCGATCAAGCGCGAAGTAAGTTGGTTCATCAGCGTCGCGAATTTTCGGGTTGCAACTTTGTCGATATGTTTCATGACGGCCTGATTGGTAAATTCTTCGGTTGACCGCTCGAGCCATAAAGCTGTGAATCTCAAAGCGTCGTTGTTATGGTCGTCGCAGGAGACGAGAGAGAGAAGGTAATTTTCTAAACTCAACCTAATGAATTCTGTTCGGCTTTGTTCCACGCGGCGCAATTCCTGCTCGTCCAAGTCGAGCCATTGCCTTGCTTTAGTAAGATGGCTATTGTACCTTGACTTCATCTGTGAGTCTCTCGTACTGGAAATGAGACCCTTGAGCTGTGAGACCTCGTCGCTTTTCCCTTTCCTCAGATGTTGCAGGCGAGCCAAGTCTTCGAGCCCGTCTGGATTTTGCAGTTGTTCGTCGCAGAACATGGCAAACTGATGGTAGACCTTGCCGGCTTCTCGGCTGTCGGTCTTGCCTTTAAGTTCCTTTAGAGCAGGTTGCAGATATTCTCTTTGGATGGTCTCCGGCTTTTCCAACTTTGCTACGGATATTTGATATCCGGTCTTGGCAAGTAAATCTGGCCGGCTGATAGGAATAGTTTGCTTTTTGAGATTTGGGTCCTCGTCGATGCTTTGAAGCATGTGAATAGAAGATGTCATCTCGCCGTGATCCCACAAGGCGTCAGCCGCTTCGAATTTTGCTACGGAATCAAGATGCAACCCGAGATCTGCACTGGGCGCCACTAAGTCCGTAAGAGACGTTGCGATATTCAACGACTCCTGGGTAGCTCGATGATGCCTATAAATGCTTGACGATAATAGCATAGACTTGATCTGCGCTAATGTGGCTTCTGGTGAATTTATCTGAGCCATACCGCGGCGCTGAGACGTTTGAGCTAACACGCTCAATGTTGTCTCCCGGCAGGATAAAATTTGACTGACATCTTCATACCTGTGTTTCTGTTAATAACGGTACGTAGTAAAGCGCGAGGAGTCACATACCGTCCGCTTTTCATCCACCCAGAGCGATCTGTAAACGCTGTTAGGACTCTGTCCAGCTCAGTCGGCTCGGCAATCTCAACCACATCATTAAGCTCTGCTAGAACGGCCAATGTACTCAAATGATGACGTAGACGAACGGGCGTGAGATCCTTTTTAGCCACGCTTCGCATCGTTTCGCTGAAACTGTTGTGAGTAGTACTCCTCGCGGGACCCAGCTCGGTAGCCTGTTGCCAAGTCTGATAGGCCCTATACAAAGTAACAGAGGGATTGTCAGTAGAAGTTGGCGCTGGTAAATTCCAGATTTCCAGTCGCCTAGCCGTGTTAAACGTGCTCTCTACAGTAGTAGATGAGCCGTCCAGGCTCTGCTCTGTTTGGAGGAGAGAATGTGACAACCCCGACAACCCAAGGTTACCCAGTGTCCGTACTAGGGATCGGCCGTCGATATTGGCCGCCGGATCTCTTCTCCGGATGTGGCTATCATACTGGGCACCACGGAATGCTAAGCTCATACTGCCATTTTTTTCGTACTCGAGCCGTGCCAGTACATTGCTCAGACTTGAAGTATGACTAAGGCCGTAATATGCGTCTGGATCGTCGATGTTCTCGAATATGTTCATTAAGATGTCCGTGGAGTCCTGAGCCCGGACAGCAGATGAACGACGGGAAGCTCGTGACCCCTCGGTCGATGTCATCTCGACAAATAACAACGCTGTTTTGAACATGCCACATTTTGCTGCAGCTGAGGCAACGGAAAGAAGATCAAGATCAAGCCATTGGCCTCTATCGGCTATAGAGTTCTCCCCTGGTAACTGCTGGGTCCTTAGATATAGAAGGGCGTTTACGAAAAGACTCATGTTTTCTTTAGCCGCCGGCGACTCTAACTTGAGCCAATTCTTAAGTGCGCCTGATAAGCTGCGTTTGATGGACTGCTGCTTTCCCTGTTCGAAGAGGAGAACTAGGTGGATAATATATGGGAAAGCTTGCTTAGAGAAGCCCTTTACATTAGTAAGAATTGGGGGCAGAGCATTGAGAATAATGTTCTCCGGGTACGATTGTGCAAGGTATACCGCAACGCCCTGAGCCCACTTTGCATCTTGAAATGCTTTGTTAGAGAGGACAAAATCTTCTCGAACAAGACGAATAGGCATATTATCAGAGGGCGGAGTCCGATATGGCGTCCAGTCCGATGTCGCGAGGAGTTGATCAGACAATACTTTCTGACAGGCTATAAGCAAGTTGTTGTCGCCTTGAGCCGCAGCTTCTGATACGATTGTTCGCAAGGCTGATTCTGCGAGGCCCGCCTTGTAACAGTCGCTATCAGACGTCAAAGATTGCAAGAGGCTAAGAAGACCATGTTCGGATCCAGATGCGTCTACCGACGCATTGAAGTATCGTGATAACTCGGACTCTCGGAGAAGGTCCTGATCGACGAGGCCGGACGCAGCAAACCCCCTGCCCACAACACGGCCTGCCCAAGCAAGATACTCGTTGCTCAGTCCTTGTGCCTGACAACTTTTCCACACGACAGGAGCCCAGGTCAACGCTTCTTCGTCGGTGCTGATTACATCAACGCTGTAGGAAGTGGGAATTGTGAAGTGACTACATAGCATTTCCAATGCTAATTTGCGGGAGGGTTCGTTTAGCAGCTGAGCTCCGTGTACTCCGTCCTGAAGGATTTCCAGTAGAAGTTTGCTTTCATGAGTGCCTCGCTCTGCATTCCCGGACGATCGAACGTGGGCCGCGCAACTCGTAATGGCTTCAAAAGCAGCACGGTGCTCGCTGTCCTGAAGGAAAGGAGACTCATAGTCTTCCAGGTATTTCGTAAACCACGAGTGGAATTTTTGAGCTTTATTCATAGTAGCTTTGAATTGACTTTCTTGTGTTGTGCTGGACTGGCTGGTCTCTAGAAACACGCGCAAGGAAGCAAGTGCAGACAGAGCATAGCCAGCAAGGAACGAAGGTGATT